GTTTTTTAACTGTCCTACTTCTTTTGCTTTATAATTAAAGCCACAGGAGTGAACTCCACCAGCAGGAGAGCCGGGGGGTAGCGTCAGAGGTCAAAGGCCAGATTATGACCTTTGCCCCACGAGTAGAATCCTACTGTGTATTGCTTCTTGAGATGTGTGTCTGTGTTTGGGTGTAAGAAGTGCATATTAAGCAGGAACAAAAGAAAGTGAGGGTTTTAATTTCATCAAGCATTAGTGAATATTCCACTCAGTTCCTTATGTTTATTAGGCCGTTCCAGAGATGTTGGAGATACATTGGCAGCTTCTGAGCCTTACTTTAGACAACTGTTCCAATTCTTTTGTCACCTGAATTTTTCTTTTTTTCATGTTTGTCAAAAACACAGCAGCGTCATGACAATTAGTCAAAGGTAGGAATAGGAGGTCTTATTCCAAAACAGACTGTTGGCTCAACTACTGAACTCCAATCTGTGTATTCACCGTTCACAGGGAAAGTTGCATCCAAATTTAAAAACACAAACACATACCAGTGCACACAGACACACAAGGGAGTGGCGCAGGGGGTATAGTGTGAATTAAGGAAGGTGGTAAGGAGGGGGTGAAGAAAGGGGAGGAAAAGAGGAGCAGATGTTGATCAGGTCGACCAACCCCTCCTCCCTGCCTGCCTTTATTATTTCACTGGTAATAGTAGCCTCTTATCTGAGGGAGACTGAGAGGGGCTGTAAAGGAATGACTTCAACTTTATCAAGAGAATTTCAATAGGCTGAGAGGGTGTGTGTGTGTGTGTGTGTTTGGCTCACAGTGTTAGCACACGCACACATGCAGAGCACTCCACATACAATACCAAAATTTGATCCAGCAAATCACATATAAACTCACATTTAGTAGGATAATCTCTTATTCAGCTCCTAAAAGACTTCATTTAATAGTTGGATTAATCTATTCCGAAGTTGTATTTGGGCTACAACACAAAGAATGACCCAAGATCAAACTGATGTTAGGTTTGCGCTTTTTTTTTTAACAACTTGGTGAATTGTTTCAAAGTTATATAACAAAGGAAATTAGAAAAATCATCAGGTTTATTTGTCCAAATTCTCTGGATACCACTTTGATACCCCTTCTCTAGTTTCTAGTAGCCTATGCCTCCTCTCATTGCTCCAGTTTCCTCTGATAGCTCCAATCCTTTACCGTCATCCTTCTCCTTTCCCACATTGCTTGCCTTCTAACAAGCCCTTCGATCCCACCCATTCACAATCCTCTGTTATTTCAACTGTGTGTGTGTGTATATGTGTGTGCATGTGCACACACAGCATAGAATCGCAGAGGGTGGGCCATTAGTTTGTTAGTTGGTTCTGCAGCTCATTGAGCTCATTGTGCTCCAAAGGCTCTTTAGCCCAGCTGGACTCAACAAGAAGTAAGAACTCTCTTTCAAATCTCTTACCTCTGCTCTCTGCCCCTCCCCCCTATTATGGAAAACCCCCTCTCCTCAGTCCTCTTCCCTGTAATTCGCAGCTCCCCCAAAAGATTTTCCCTTGACAGAAGTAAACTCACTTAGCCTGTTTACAGTCAACATTTGTTGACCTAACCAAATTAACACGGGGGACCGCTTATCTGAAGGCTCTCATGTTGTTGACATCCTGCTAATGGCTTTTTGTTCAGAGTGACGTGACAAGCTTAAATAAAAACACACATGCACACAAACCCAGCCTCTTAAGTTGCTGAACTAGTTAAGGAGTTGTCTCATGCCTGTGGAAGCAACCAAAGGTAATCAGTAATAATATTAGGCGCTGCTCACTTTTGCTTTCATTGCTCTACATGATCACAAATGATCAGAGAACACACACAGAATCGGATCCTGAGGTTTTACAAAATATTTTCTATCTACATGAAGCAAACATGGTATCCTGGTGGCTGAGATTCCCATTTAGTTACTCAAGAGAGAGCTTTATGGGCTTTTGGACCAGAAACGCTTTTCTTATTTTAGTGTCTTGTAACTTTCTAATGAGTTTCTTATGACTACTGGCTATTTGTAGTTCATAGGTAAGATTTTATGCTTTAGGAATAATTAATGTTATAGCAGGATCAGTTTTTCAGTCCAGTTTAAATTAGAAAAACTTTAAAGTACAATTATATCGTCAGAGAACTGATAGGCAATATAGTTATAGGGAGATAACTATATTCATTATAAGCTGCCCGACAAATAGGTTGTGGTGTTTTTTTGTCATTTTTTTTTTATTGTTGTTATTGTTTTAGCTTGGTAACAGTTTGTTTGCAGCTGATGAGTGCATAAACAGTAATGGAAGGCAGCACAGGGGCAATTACATAGAGAACAAACATGGATGGGGACGCACAGCCGTTGAACATCTGGAAAGAAGAGATGCTCCTTCCCTGAGACACTTCAAGGATTAAAGACCAGAGTTGTTTCCACAGCCATGGAGGAAAAGACAAAATGACCTTCTGTCCTCATCCGGGGCCAAAACTCGTTCTAAGTATCTATTAGCAATCTCACATTTCCCACGATGATCAAGGGGAGAAATGCTTTAACTCTCTTTCTCCCTTTTTCTCTATTTTGTTTATACTCTTTGTTTTCACTCTACATCTTTAGCATCAATATGCATCATAGCATATGTGCCTATAGTCAGCAGCATAGCATCTAAACCAGCAGAAGAAATGTTACAAAAATGTGTTGTGTCACAGAACAAGAGCTTGGCAGAGATGAAGATGCAAGAAAAGATGCTGTTTTCAGAGCTAATGCTTGTGGCCAATAAGATAATTATAGGATTATGGTACTCAAAAACATGCATATAGATGTATATAAGGAATACTCAAAAAGTATATCTTATCTCTCTTTTTGTGCTTTTCTATACTAAAGATGTAGCCAAAACATAACTCTTTGCTCAATCTATTTGGACTATTTGGGTTCACTCTTTTTATGTTCAGTGAGCATAAATTCACTAACATAATTTTGTGTAGACAAATAACTTTTCCGGTGTCATCGATGAAATGTTAAAACAAATAGGGCCTGGTTTATTTGAACTTTTGGTGTCGTGTTTATGTTTGACTGGATGTATATGTCCACGGTTGCCCAGGTTATGTAAGGAAGCTAAGCAGTTCAGCAGCAGAAGTCACCCACTTTCATATGCCAAAAACAAAAGTTGCTGGCACAACCTCCAATGCTGCATGGAACGGATGTATACCGTTGCATCACATTAGGGGGGAGGAAGAGTTTAAACCCTCTGTCAAACACACAAAAGCATGTGTACACACAAGAGAACACACACTTAATAAGAACCACTTGGCTGGATGAAAACAAAGCTTTTCGGTAGCCATTGTCCTTTACTGAACAAGTCTTTCTAGAAGGGCTTACAGCTGCAAGTTGAATTCTGTGACTTACAGAGTTTTTGTTGGCGATACGTTTGAGCATTTTTAACACACTTATTTTCTCCTATTTCCAAAGTGCTTTAGAGCTGTATCATGTGGAGAGCGCACTGGCATTAATGCTGTATAAGATCTTATGTGCAGCTGGACAGACTGATCATATGAAAACATATCAGATTAACCCAAGATTGCGCACCATAAAAAAACAGATCTGTGAATATTTGACCCCCATAGTCTCTGAGGTAAACCTTGCAGTATTTAGAAGAGATTTTAAAGCTAAATTTCTTGATCTTGGCAGGATCTGTTCATTTCAGCGTGAACTAAAAGCTACCTGTTGAACACAACCCCACAGATGCTTGTAGACCTCTATGTTCTGTGTTTTCTACCTTTGTCAGGACCAGTGATGGAAAAAGAATGATGTTTTGATGTCAGGATCTAATTATAGTCAGTATAATACCTTGGATACAGTAAATGTAAAGTTTAGGCTTTGGAACATGTATTTTCATTTTGCATCTTGCAAGCATAAAGGAAAACATCTTTGTGTGTGAGTGGGACAGTCAGATATTCCCAGGACTTACTTACTTACTCTGCAGTGGAATTTTTCACACATGTGGCCTTTAGCGCTGAAATCAAAGACATGCTCCTCCTTTTCTGTCTCCCAGTGTTAGGTTATCTCCATAGGCTGTCTATCCAAACCATATGTTCATCCCTCCTGTTTTCTGTCTGTTTGGCTTTTATTGTTTCCTTGTGGCTGGCTATTTTTTGTTGTTGCTCGTGTTGGTTTGCACACTCCTGTATTTGTCTGATCTGTTTCACGTCTCACCCTGCTTTCAGGCTTTCTTTTCTTTGCTTGTGCTATTACTTGGGACCACGCTCTTCTCCTTTGTGATGGAACGATCAGGACGACAGAATTTACATTTATTTACCATCATTACTGACTAAAGCTATAGGAAAAAGCTAAATTTTACTTTACCAATCCATTGCCTTTGAGGTCCTCAATGCCAGAGACCTACAATTATAACTAAATTATTTAAACAGAAGAATAAACTGTTGGTGAACTTTGTGATCGCAGTGTTTAAGAAATCAGATGAAAACAAGATGATGAAAACAGAAATTCCAGTCACCTTTAACTGTATTAAGTAAATAAAAACTTTATCTAATTTGGTGATCGTTGATCATAATTGCTATTTGGTAAATTATAAGAACAATAATTTTCACTAAAGCACGTATAGTTGAGGAAGACCGATATATATATATTTTTTTAAATAAATAATTTTAATTTTAAAATATACCAACAAATATTTGGACGTCATATGTGGCTGAAACCATAAAACCCTGTGCAGTCCGAAGGCTTTGGGGATGTGGAAGCCCACTTTTTGGGTGTAAATCACGGGCGTGGGAGTGGCTAGCAGCGCTGTTAGGTTTTAAATCCACACGTGGTCTGGGTCTTGGGCTTGTTTGGGAGCGCGTAAACAGCCAGAAACTTCTGGCCAAAAACTCATGCCAGCGAACCGCTCGCGTCTGTCGCTGCAGAGGGTAGTAGACGGGACCGGACCGAGGTTCTGATAGCTCAGCAAAAAAAATGCCATCTCACCCCCCCCAACCAGTTTGCTGACCTGGAGGAAATGATGTGCGAGGTAAAAAACGAAAAGCGCAAAGAAAGTTGAGCGGAGGAAAAAAGTTGGCTCACCGGAGGGTGGAGGGAGGGGGGGGGGGGGGGGTGTTCACGTTAGCTTGCTAGCTACCAACTCTTCACAGTTTGCTTTCTAGCTTTCGCCTTTTAGCGTCTTGTGCTGGCGTATAACGATGTCGTGTGCTTCCAAAACCTCTTTGACTGTGACCCGAGTGGGGTTTTTAAACGACTTAAATTCGTCCGTCAACCTGGACGTGAAACTTAAGAGCCCCGTGGCAGTTTTTGTTTTGAGTTCTTCGCAACAAGGGCCTGTCAGTCCGTCCGGCAACTAGCTTAGTTAACGGTCCTAACGCCTGCGAAAAGGCGCAGTTAAACCGAGTTTGAGGGAGTTTTTTTTTCACCTGGGTGTTTGACATGCTGGTTTGTGATAGTGTGTAAGTTTCTATTTTAGGTAAGAGCAACAAGTTTAAACTGAACGGGCAACTGGAGGTGAAAGTAAGAAGTTGCGTTGCTGAACAGGAAGGCGTTGGGGCGTTCAGAGGACGAACCTCCTGCTCTGTTTTCTGGACTATTTATGCTCTCTGTAGCTTTTTAAAGATTTTTGTCTCAAAAGGCTGCATTAAAGTGACATTTGACCTCTTAAATGCGACCTAAACAACTGGATTTAGAAATAGATTAATGATTTTAGCCTTGCTGCTGTAAATCATTATATTAAAGACCATTAATAACTTCAAATGAATGAATAATTATCAGAGCATGCATTGATTTATTATTTTTTGTATTTGAAAATGAACTTAACTGAGATGTCATTGGAATTGCAAACTTGCTGTTTGACATACTTTATGCAGGTTTAAAGGTGCAACAGCATTTAAGAGGCGGTTTGTTTTTCCCAAACCTCTGGGCTACTCTGTTTCTGTGTTCCCTCAGAGATGAGCGTCCCTCTGGCCTGTTCCGCATTTCTGTTAAAGACCACTGTGCAGGCGGCTGTTTTTCTACACATAGGAGCATGTGTCCGTTTTTTTTTTCCCCTGAAAAACCACTGCATTCATTCATGCTCTTGCAATGGCAGTTGGTGATTGTGGACACTCTGGCCCCGCCTGCTGTTTCTAAATGGTGGGCCGATGTTTGTCAACACCAGTGCAGCTTGGATTTACATATATGTATATATTACAAATAAGTGGTGATGATTATTAATAAAACACTCTCCAAAGTTTTGAAACGTGGCCTTATAAAGTCAGCTCAGAGCCGCTATGTTCACAAACGCCCTCAGTGCAGCTTTCTTGGCCAAGAGTTTATTGTAAAGCTGTGGAACTGAGTTGCTTTAAATCAAAAAGCCCAGCTAGGAACGCAGCAGAGGTGGGAGATGAAATGCACACAGATTCGCCAAAGCAAAGTGTGAAATGTAATGTTAGTGTTCGGTCCTACAAAGTTGGGGAAATGGATCTCTTAAAACTATCACATGATAGCCGTCTGATTTAAAATGTTTATGTTGACAGATGACTGCCAAAACAGGAGTGAGAAGTTGCAACATATTTTTGATATGTCATGAAAGTTATTGGGAGAAAGAAATAAAAAAAAACTAACTTTTTTTTGTCTCATCTTTCTCTAGCGTTTGCTAAAACTTGACCTCAGAGAGCAGGACCAATCACCTCCATCCCTCAGTGACCAGATGAGGACGGCGGGTTACATCTCTGAGCTCTGCAGAAGCGCCTCCTTTTCTCTCTCGTCTCTCTCCTGCCTCCCGAACGATCCCTCTGACGGTCTGTTTCTGAGCTGCAGCCAATGGGGGCAGCAGGCAGACAACGCCCCCCCGCCCCAGCCGGGTGGCTCCTCGCAGTGGGGGAAGTCGGCCTTCCTCTCCCAGCGCTCCATCAGCCTGGTGGAGACCAGCAGCACGCCGGGGCTGAGTCTCAGCTGGCCCGGGGCCGACGTGAAGGCCGCGCCCGTAGACGCCAGCGCCGCTCTGCTGAATGCCGGCTCCGCCTCGTCCGGCTCCTCCTCCTCCTCGCGCTACAAAACCGAACTGTGTCGATCCTTCACCGAAAACGGCCTGTGCAAGTACGGCGGGAAGTGCCAGTTCGCCCACGGTCCGGAGGAGCTCCGGGATCTGAACAGACACCCCAAATACAAAACGGAGCCCTGCCGCACCTTCCACACCATCGGCTTCTGCCCCTACGGGATCCGCTGCCACTTTGTCCACAACGGCGAGGAGGAAAAGAAGCGGCCCGTCTCCCGCTGCTCCTCGACCAGCGCTCCGCTCCAGCCGCTCTCCTCCTCCCGCTCAAACAGACCCCCCCTGGTCAGACAGAGTTTCAGCTTCTCGGGCTTTCCCTCCGCCCCCCAGCAATCCCTCCAGCCGGTGCTGACCGGCCCCGCCCCCCCCGCTGCTCCATCTTTCACCTGCGCCCCGTCAGCCTCGCCCCCCTCGTGCGCCGACATCACCGACCTCTTCTCCCAGGCCTTCCTCGAGATGGACTCGGCCTTTGAGGCCTCGCCCGCCCATCAGTTCCAGCCCAGCTTGGGCCAGGCGGTCACTCCGGCCGACCTGCGCTCCCCCTTCCTGCCCTCGCCCGACTCCGGCTACTCGCCGTGCGGGCTGTCTCCAACCGGCTCGCCCTCGCTCAGACAGAGTCCCGGCGTCACCGGGGCCCTCCCAGGTCCTCTGGGTGCCCGATCCCTGTCCTACACCTCTCTGTCGGACCAGGACCAGGACGGCGGCAGCTCGTCCAGCTCGCTGAGCGGCTCCGAGTCCAGCGGGGCCGGAAACGAGGCCGGTGGCAAACGCCTGGCCGTGTTCAGTCAGCTCTCTGTCCCAGAGGATGTCACCAGCTTCTGCCTCTAAGCAGCAGCACGATTTAACACAAACTACAACATTTTCCTACACTCAAACTCAGCACACACACACACGCATACTCACACACTCCTCTTTCCCCAGGCTAACTGACCGAGGAGAGGGAAGAACTTGCTGATGGACTCTGATCACTGATGAGATGCCCCTGTTAGATCTTTGTGGTTTAAATGTCACAGTGATGATGAGGACAAAGCGCCCGCTACCACCAAAACATACATATCAGGATGGTTGTTTAAGGAAAAACAACAAGCTTTTATGGTTATATCTAAGTGGTGCACCGATATGGCAACTTGCCAACAAGAAATCTCTCCTTCATTCATGAATCTTCTGTCGCCTTTTTTCCGAATGGTTTGAAAACATGTGTGAGACCAAGCCAAAGATGACATCTGTAACTCAGACGTATCGATTATGGTGGAAAGTTTTTAGTTCCTCCATCACTTGTACACAGTGTTTATAAGCTTGTGAGATAGTTTACTCATCATAATTGTGCGTTTGGATCGCCGGCCTCCATCCCGAATGTTGTGGGTTTTTAAACAACGGGCCTGCGGTGTTACCTAACGGCCCGCGTTGCGTTGTTGAACCAAGAATCTGATTATGAGCTGGGGGGCGAGTCCTCTCTTGTCGCTGCAGGTGTTTGTTTTTTGTTTTTTGTTTTTTTTAGGAGATGAACGCAATAGACGGTTTATTGTATGATCAGGAACTACTCCCAGTTACACGTCAGACGGCCGGCACCGAGAGTCAAAGATGCACAAAGGCCTGAAGCAGATGCCGACTGTCCAGTCTGACCTGCGGTGTACGGTCCAGTGAATTATCTCCTTTTTTTTTTTCACCCGTTTGTTTTTCCATTCAAAGTGCCGACATGCATTTTTAAGCTATTTTTCACACAAACATTCCCAGTAAGTTGTATATGTAGAGGTGCCTTTCCCCCCTAGTTTCCTCATCTACCGATGCACTGTTCCATTTTCCAATGAATGTCTCGGTGAGTCTGGGCCCACCTCATCGCATCCATTTGTGATTCAGTATTAATACTTTCTGCTCAGCTTCCGTGTTGTTAAGAGCCGACAGCCTCCACCTGAGCTGTTATCTGTTACCTTATCAAACTAGATCCAGCATACTGTAGGGTTAGAGAACGTATGCATAGTGTTTTAGGCATGTTGCGTTGCAGGTTTGTGCGTTTACAGTGTAGTTGGTTAGAGGAACAGAGGACGCGCTGTTCCAGGTCTATTTAAAATTGCCTTTTCATCAACATGTTTGAGGCCTGTTTAGTGGTAAAGGTGATATCTTTAGTAAATTAATTTCTTTAATTTATTTTAATGTATTTATAGAAGACGTCTCTGTTAATGCTTGCATCAAGTTTAATATATTTTGGTTTGTTTTGCTTTTTTTGTACTCGAAATAAAGTTCTTTTTAAAAAAAAAAAAAAAAAGTTCTGTGCGTGTGATTATCTTTTCGTAGCTAGCAACATTACATTCAACCACTTCAGGTGGTGAATATTTCTTTAAACTTTCTGCATGGATGTGTCGATGAGAGCTGGTTGTAACAAAGTTCATGACGTTTTAGATGCAGTGTACAGGAAGGAAGTGAGCAGGAAACCAGTGAACTGTCATTTCCGGTGCACATTCTAGATGGTATTCCTCCAGTGACCATTAAAATAAAATGAAAAAGATTATACACAGGCACTATTTAAAAAATCAACCACCTGATTAATATGTTTACCTCTATTAACACTCTGTCTGGCTTCCCTTTTCAGGCATTTAATCCTAATTCTTGGTGCCAACTTCTTTCTTCTCTCACTTGCTCCATTGTTCACTTCTCTTTGGCTTACTTTCTGTCTCCGAATTAAAGTTCCAACCAATTTTGAGCCACGCAGCAGGTTGTTATTGAACCAAATTTGCTCCGTGTGAACCTGGTATCTGGAACGCCGTTGTCTTTGCAGAATATATTAAATTATCTGGAAAAATGTCCGCCGGTCAAGAGGAATCTAAGAGTAAAGGAGAAATGAGAGGCTGGGTCTTAAGATGAATACTTATTCCTCCGGGAATCTTTTTCATACACACACTAGTGCCATTATCTTGTCACTTTTAACACAAAACGGGCGGGCTGTCTGGGAGTGATTAGTGGCCCTGAAGGGGTTAAAGACTTGTGTGTCCTCATGAGGTTGTGTGCGGCTTTGTGTCTCATAGACATTCTCCCACACTCGTACCCTGTGGGACATATGAAAGGCAGGCAGATGGTCGTATTCAGGTCCACCGCAGGTCAACATATGGCCCCAGGAGACAAAGTTTGTGTTTATGTGTGCGACTGAGCATCGTGCCGCGCATGAGCGGAAAAAGTTTAATGAGTTGGCTTAAAGGGGGACAAAAAAAAAAAAGAAAAATTCTTAGCGGGGGAAGATTAAAAAAAAAATAAAGCAGTGAGAAATAAAGTGTTGGATAAAGGACAATGGGAGAGGAGAGAAAGTGGGCAGCTTCTAGCCAGATCCTACCACTTAAACGGAAAGATTTGGCTGTGTGTGCGTTTGTGTAGCTGTGCTTCAGCATCACACTGCCTCTTTTATCCCCGTCGATCTTTCTGCTCAGCATCTAAACTCCAAATGTTACAAATATCAGGGAAGTTCAGTAAAATTCCCTTTATTAGGAGTGTGCAAAGTGAACATCTATACAACCCTAAATGTCAAATAGGTTGAGACAAATGCTGTAAACTCACAATTAAAACAGAATAATAAAAAAAAAGTAAAATGCTGAAGATGATGACAGGACATGATATAAAAGTAGAGGACACTTTAACGCTGTTTTGCAACACCTCTTATCATAACACTAATCTGTACATCTGCAAACAGCTGCTTGCCCTTCAGGGGGTGTTTTTTTCCCCCTTCAGTTTTATCTGAAATAGATAATTGCTCTTCTACAGCCATGGATCTTCACCGTTTCGTTTTCTATAAGCATTTTACACGCTCTGGAGATGGCAAGGCGGGTCTTTTGAGTCTGTGAGAGTTCAAGCCACATTGCTCTTCTTTTATGTGTCGTTCTCAGATTGACATTGTTGGATAAAACATAAAAGGATGCATGACATTTATTTGAGAATGTCGGAGATCACTCCATTTGTTTCCGTTCCTGACTAACCTAACGGAACATAAAAGATTTTGTAACCAGCAGAAAGTTTAGAAGCTGGCTGGCAGTTGGCCCTGGTAACCTTTGGCCCTATGTTTGCATCTATGATGAGAACCAACATGTGCATAATAAATGTTTAGATAGTCTCTGGGTCTGAAAATGAGCTGCTTTTAGGAAACCCTAACCGTGTTAAACGAAAAAAACAACACAAATTAAACTTCAGGCTGTTGAACTGCGTTGCTGAATTGTTGGAGGTTGTTCCTGTGTCTTCTCTACACCTCTTTTCTCTCCTCTAACTGAGCACATGCCTCCCCCTGTGCTCCCACCAATCACCGCTCCACTGTGAGAGGGAGTTTGACAACTGCACTGTGGGCTATGGAGGCAAAGATGTTCAGAGCAGCTAAAGAACCAGAGGCTGCACGTCTTTCTTTTTTCCCCTTGCTTTTTAAAACTGTGGAGGCATTTTGATACAACTCCACACGTCTCTCTGTTCTTTCATTGACTCACTACACCACCCTCCTCAGTTCTTACTTTTCCCAGCCTGCTTCATTCTTACATCTGCCTCCCCCATCCGCTGATAACTTAAAAAAAAGAAAAAGAAACGGGCCATTATCAATCCACAACCTCCTATAGTGGCTCTTTCTGCCTCGTTTTCTTCTCGTCCCTTCTCTGAACCTCCTACTTCAAAATACTTTCTGTATTTCCTTCTACCCCCTCCCAGTCTCACTCTCTTTCTCTCTAATCCCTCTCCATGGTTTTCCTATTTTTTTTTTTATTCCCCCAGACAGGATTTGAGCTCAGTGCTTAATGTGTTGCAACAAATGTTCCAAATAGTCAGCCATGGCCTGGTAGATTCAGATGTCTGACTCAATTTCCCTGAATGGTTTCTTCTTTCTTATCATTCTTATGATTGTGCAGATGTGGAAATAAAAGCGCACATGCTTATCCGACTGTCACCCGCAATAAAATGTGATGCTCAGAGAGGCAGGAGGTCAGTGCTCTCACAACCTGGGGGATTTAATTACCTTCTCTTGAACTTATGAGCTCATTTAAGGACTCTTTACTTGAAGAGCATCATTCAGCTTTGAGAGCAAACCCGTAGAGAATGTTTAAAAGTGCCAATCATGATTCATCAAGCTGGAAGGCTTTAAAAAGTCAGACATAAAAAATGATGAAGGATAAAGACTTTAAAACCCTGAAGTGGGATCATAGCACTAATTTCCTCAGAATAAATTATACAACTGACAGAAACTATCTGTGACACACTTTTAATAATGTATTTCGAAAAATGTAAAAATTCCGTATCAGAAGAAACTCCCTGAGATTTTAACTGAAGCCTTTCCATCTTAATTCCACCAGAAAAAAAAGGATGTTAAGCTGATTTTTATGTTCTACACAAAGGAATACGATTTACCCCAACTGAAACACCACAGAGGGACAACAGTTTGTGTTTGAGGTGTGTTCAATTATCAGGTAATATCACAGAATAAATGGAAGGAATTCCACTCTGCTTTCAGCAGTTTTGTTCTTAATGATTGAACATGTAGTGAACATATAACAGCATATCGGTACATTTTTTTAGAAAAACCTCCTTTGCTTAAACAACAAAGAATTTGTTCAGCTGTAGACTTACTCTGTAACACACAAAAAATATATAATTTTAGTCAACAAGGAAAAACAACAAAGAACATTTGCTGATAGCTCAGACAAAAAAAATGAAATAAGTGCAGCCTGGTGTGTCCCTCTAGTGGTTTTAAAGGGTAACAAGACGGTAGGTAATGCGTTTGTGTGTGTCCGTTCTTTCCATAAAGAGGCCTTGTTTTTGTGATGGTACCGTAAAATCTTTATTTCACAGAACTGTTGAGATGACGATATAAATAACACAAACAGAGCATATATACAGCTTCACCATTTTTAAACCATTTCAGAGGAAACCTTTATGTAAACCAGGTTGGCATTCGTTTCTATAAACTGGAAAGCCCTTGTAAAACCATTTTAGTGCCTTACAGCATGATTTCAAGCATACTGTGAAAAAGTCCAAAAAACTACATCTATACACATCAATGTAGTATAAAAGACACAAAAAAGGTACAATGCTGTAGAAAATATCATCATCGGTAAATCTAGTGGATGAAAAACGAAGCCACCAGAGAGGAACTGACTGATGCACCAGGGGAGTGGGAGTCCACTCTCATGTTTAGCAGGTTAGGCCAGGAAAAGCATTACTTATTCCCAACTTAAACATCCTGAAAGTCCCATACCAATGACTTAAAATACCTGCAGGATACAGCTCCAAAATGTAACGGAAAGGGTCTTTCTTAAATTCAGCAGACATGCACATAAACATTCAAGTTTCAGTTTCTTCTCACAGCCAGGCGTTAATGATATTTCTCCATTTTTCTAGTTGGTTGTCATGGATTTAACGTGCCCCAGTGTCAGTGTGCTTTGTTTGGATTTGACTAACATCTGGTTCTCAGTGGGAATAATCTTTGAATTGAAATATCAGGAATTAATGACCATGACAAAAATTATATATATATATATATATATATATGTGTGTGTGTGTGTGTGTGTTTTTTGTGTGTGTGTATCATTCTTTTCTTTTTTTTTTTTATTCCCCCATGCACATGAACGTTTGCAGAACATTATAACACATTACTGGAATGGATATCATGTGAATTCTCTTAACTTTAACGTTGGTGTGATTTAATTCTACTAACAGACACTGCGTCACTCTGAAGCCAGACTGAGGGCCATCATTCAGGGCCAGGCTCCTCTTCTGTAGGTCAAACGAAAGCTAAGAGCCATTCACATCACAGAAACCAAATGAGCAAACACAGATAAAACTTTAAAGTCTAGTGACCCTTTCTGCCCCTCCAGGAGCACCTGAGGGTCAGCAGGGTGTTACACCTCGCATTTCATCCAGAGGGGATGTTTGATTCAATCTATTGCTATGCAGCTCAGAGGTAAAGCAGAAATGACAACCCTACGTTTTGGCAAAGCCATAAAATCCAGACTGGCAGACACCGTCAGATCACAACTTCTGGATGACCACCTGGAACTTACCTGTTGAGACATAATGTTAAAAAGGTCAATTTATTTACCAGTTTATCTTTTTAAGTTATGTTCATTTATTAAGTCTTTATCATCACTCAAAGCAAAAGCCATTTTTGCTCATTTGGATCATAAAACCCTCTCTAATCCACACAATCCACATTGATCCACACAAACACATGACCAATTCAAAATAAAAAAAGTAGATCATTGGAGATACTAACTGATCACACAACCACTTGGGCCTTATAAGTAACAGTGGATTGGCAAGGACTGCTAGCCAGCTAGCTTGGTATGCCAAGTAAGTCCTTCCCGTAAGAAAAAAAACCATGATAGGGTGTTCCAGTTTCACTTACAGGACGGCATGGCAGAGACCTCCGCTGTCACCACGCTCTCCAGGCCCAGATTGGACAGAGCTCCTCTCACAACACCACACGAAAAAGCTAGGTACTGAGAGACGATGACATAAATTAACACAAAGAGGTTATTTGGCTTGAGTTCAATCATTTTCCCCAACATCAATCTGAACGCAAAGGAGTCTGAGAGCGCTGCATACCTTGGGAGCCTGATCTAGATACTGTTTTCCACTGGACATTTGAGTGAGAAGGACAAACTTATTGTCCTGCAGAACATAAGTACCCTGCGGAGAGAAATTCTTATGTCTGTTAAAGCACCAAGTAACAGGTTTTAATCAATAACATGTGCAACTGTTTAAAACGTAGGATTTCATGCGATGAAGCCATTTATCCTTATCACAGGACGATTTTGCACACACAGTGACTTTTTTCTTTTTTAACTTTACCTGGTGGTTTGTTCTGAGGTTGTCCACCTGTCTCCTAAAAACCTTTGTCCAGAAGTCTTTGCAGATAAACTTCATTATGTCCAACTCGTCTTTAAAGCTGGGGGAGTCTCTTGTCAACCTAGAAACATAAAATTGTACATTTAAAATTATGGGAAATAAACGTCTCGCGATATTTACTGTTTCCATCGTGAGCTGTTTGCATCAGCTACCTCTCGATGAGCCCTTGTCCCACCCTGAAGCCCATGCCCTCCAAGACAGAAATGCACACAGCTCTGTCCTGAAGAAAAGCAAGCATCGTATCATATTTTACGGACACAGACTTTAGGACATCATTCTTTAACTGACTGTGGACAAAAAAGATGTGAAGTATTGACCTTGTTGTCCATCTCTCCTTTACTGGACTGCTGCTCTTTGTAAACATGCGCCACTATCTCCATATGGAGAAAGTCAAACAGGGACTCGTCTGCCATTCTGGAGCACAGAAGTTACATAAAAGTCAATACACCGCTTGTGTGAAGCATTTTCAATGTATTATAAAGCTATACACCACAAACAACTGTCTCACTTTTTAAAACAAGCTAGCCAAATATTGTTAGCGCTAGGTAGCTAGTTGTGTTTCCTATCCAGGCTTAGCCAGCCTTATGAATTCGGTTTACATCTCAGTAGATTTAACAGAACATAAATAAATCAACACAAGTTTCTAACAAAGATGTATTTTCCTGTTCAATTCGCTGATCCGCTATATAAATCATACCTGTGAAACGATTGTAAACGCTGCAACCTGCCTCTACAATTGCACTCGATATGACATTAGTCAGCTCCCTGAATTTCACGCAGGCGGTGCTAAGGAGGCTTTACCCATCTAAAATAGCCATATGTGGAGAATCTAACTCACAGCTAAGTATACAAAACAGTAATGCGTGCAATGGTACAATTTCTGTCCACAAAGAAATCGCAACACTCCAGTCCTGGCAGTATAATGTATCGCGATGTGAGCGCTAATTAATTTTCGGTGTACGCTGGCAGATACGTTTAAACATTCGATTGTTTTTGTGAGAGCCAATCGTAATACGTAACGTAACTTATCACATGATATGGGGTCTCTAGTCGGATTGGTTTTCGGGAAACAACCGACTTCCTTGTTACTCATGTGATTTTCTGTTTTGGTCCAACAGTTAAGGTTAGACCATTTTTGAATATATTTAAACGCATAAAATCGTTATGTGTGATATTAAATAACAATCTGGAGCTAATTTAACTTATAAAACAGACAAAATCTTTTATAATTTGTCCTAAATTGCCTTTATTTGTCGCTGTAGTTTACAGTTCAGACACTGCGGTGGTGGTGTGTGTTTGCAGTCATGTCCAGCAGGTACCCGATAGTGGTGCAGGGTGAGGCTTCTGAAACAGATTCCGATGATGAAGTCTACATCACTTCCCTGTCTGTTCCCCAAGCTGCAGCTGCCGGAGCCAAGGTTATAATGCTTTTATGCTTCTGTTTGGTTTTTTTTTTAGAAATGTTTCTAACAAAAAGCTGTACCCTTCCTTCTTACTTGAATGTTTGTGGACAAGAACAGGTTCCAGGGGAGGCATCTGAAACAGATAGTGAGGGTGAGCTGGAGCAGGCGGTCCGGGCATCTATTTTGAGACAGGAGAGCACGCAGATACTCAAGAGAGACCTGCCTCCCCTAATAGTGGTCAGAGATCACCCTGATATACAGTCCATAGTGGAAGACAGACCAAGCCCTTCACACAGGCCACATGGTGAGGACAAACATCAACAAAAATGCATTCAGTTACATTTAATTTATAATGGCAACCGTGCAAATGAATAAAGATCCATTAAGACAAACAGTTCAGTTCACCTGTGTAATTCTGTCTACAGGTGAAACTCTTTTACAACAGAAGCTGCAGGAGTCTAATGGTCGACTGTATTCTGATGTGGGACAAATGATACGGCAGGTCTATGGCACCGCCAGCAGAGAGGTAAGTCTGGTGCCACAGAATCCAGAATACCAAATCTCAACTTCTTGAAATTGAACAAAATATTTAAGTTGTGACAATATAAGCAATCTATTCTTTTCTGAAAGAATTGAGTATTTTGGTTCATATGATTGGTTTTGTACTTTTACCCCGTGTTTGCTTAAAGGTGCGCAGTGCCACAGCTCAGCTGAATACGTCCCAGGGCTCCATCATCAATGCCTCCCACAGCATCCGCCTCATACTAGATGACCTGAAGGCCGTGTCCGAGAAGATTGACATCATAACCAGCTGTCAAATACTACCTGATATTAACATTAACGATCCCAGTCATTTTACCACTCCTATACCTTAAATAAACATAAAATACTTATTTAAAACAAATGTAGAATGGTATTATATAAGTTCTGAGTATTTACTTTAAATAACATGTTAATGTTATTTTTGGAATGATTAACTGACCCGTGTATATAAACAAAATGTAAATTTAACAGTCATTACTTATGTGTTTGTTTATGCACGTTACCTGAATATATGAAGGTAAATCTGACAAGAAATTACCGTAAGCCATCTTTTGCCTGTTGATTTTCTCATCATTGCTACCAATAAGCTCCATTTTTAAAAACAGAAAAAAGGAATCTTTCTTTGTGTTTTCCAGCAGTCTGTGATGGGTCAAGGAAGAATGTGTGCTATGATTATACATTTTTTCATGAAAAGGTAAAGAAAATATAACTACATTTCTACATATGTCAAAGGTTTGAATTATGTTCTGTTAGTTTTGAGCTCTGAGTCTAATTTTTTCTCTGCCCTCCTTGATTGTCATAATTCTGTCTGATATGTGTATTTGAATACACTATATATTTCTAAAGTAATATCCTGGATTTCTTTTATAATGATGCCGTGTTCTCTTCACTGACACCTCACGTCCGTACACTTCCACCACTACCAGCAGCTTGAGAAAGGTGTCTACAGCACCCACACTGCCAAGCTGGTGGTTTGTATTTTGCCATGTGGGATTTAAACTTCGAGGACCATTAGCCACCTGAAAGAGAGAGAACAAGCCCCTCTCAGTGTGTCATATTTAGCTTATTGACATTTTGGCCACCTGATGGTGCTGTTGCCTCATTCATTGAGTCAGTAAGTCAATCATTAAAACTTCCATGTTCTATTTTTCCATTTAATTTGTTAATTCTGTTGTTCATCATTAAAACTTGCACAATTCTTTAAGAACTCTATTTGCTTAAGAAACCATAATATTACTAAAGTAAAATTACACAAAACACAACTGATTCATAGGTTAATGATGATGAGATAAATTTATTTTTGCCTGACTGCATCTTTTGTATGTATATTTGTACATACACACATTGTTTAGTTTTCTAATTGTTTCTACTGTATGGCTATGGCACTTGTATCTAAAGTTGTGTTGTGTTTCACAATGGTCAAAAAGATATAGATGCCAGCAAAAGGAATGAGCTCTGTCAAAGTAACCTGTGACAGAGTAACAGTAAGTAAAAGTAACAGATGAACCCGCTTATTCATCTGTGATCATTGTGGAAATATCAAGCCAAAAAGCACGGTGTCACACAGTGCAAATCTGACTGGCATCTATCATGTTTGTTGCAGGCAGATGGACAGAGAACCTATAGAGCTCCACTGGCAATATGTTATTGGCAGTGGTGAGAGATGTTGTAGGGCTAAAATACATTGTATGCACCTACAGAGCGCATCGTGTGAACATAAATACAGTGTATGTATATGATAAGACGCATCTGCCCCTTGTACGTGAGTAAATAGTTTCTTATTGGTCAGATTTTTCCCTTTACCTTCTTACATGTTATAAAAGGTTAACTAAAGTGTTCACAGCCTCTGGGATAATTAAGGCTGTCCTTTTTGTCTCACAGAAACCGAGGTGCAGGATCACAGAGGGATTTAAAGAAGCAATTAATCAGTTGATCAGGGACTCTAATGGGATGCTAATGGCATCCGTATAATAAGACTGCCGAGACATGACAATCTGCAATCTTCATTTGAGGAACAAGGTTTGCAGCTAACCGAGCATCTCTTGCATCCTCAGATAGTTGGTGTGTGTATGTATGGCTGCATGTGTGTGTGTGTGTGTTAATGTGTATGCATCAATCAGTCCCAGCTGTGCTGACTGAGCTCCAGGCTTTGAGGGCTTATTGAGTGAATGAGGGCAAACACTGAAAACACCATTAAAACTGCAGCATGGAACTCATCACCGACAAATAATAATAACACCACTGCAATTTATTTAACCAGAAATGTCTCATTGTGATAAAAAAAATCATAGTGCTACAGGCTACAGATTAACAAAACTGGAAACAATTACATGAAATTTAAACAAAAAACAAAGGAGCAGTTCAACACAAAACTATTAAATTCTGCCAACATCTTCTGAACATTCCAAAGACTGTTTGATGTAGCCTGAAATAATGTTGTATCAGTATTAGAAGTGTAATTATTATCTCTATATCTAAATAAAAAATGTTGTAGAAAAACAATTGAATTAATTTGATTTTATTTGAATTCACAAAAATTTCTAATGATTAAAATCAGTTTCAAACCAATACCACAATAGAAAGAGGTACAGGAAGTTAAAAAAAGTTTAATTTAAGAGGTTACGTTTTCAAATTAATTGTGTATGAATTGCACTCTATTGGAATTTAATGAATTGGATGATTGGATCACAATGAATCAGACCGCAATTGTCTTGAATTAAATGCATCTTTAAAAATGCCTTGAGCTGACAATTGTTGGGATTTGGCACTAGTAATAGTTTTGTGTGTTGTTTTCTCTTTTAAAAATTATGTGAAGTTATGCAGTTCAGATACGAAAAAGAAAGAAAATGTGCTGCAAGACAATGAATGAGGGGGATAAAAACATGTGTGTAACACAGTGAGTATTTCCCTTTAAGGCTGCCTTCACTTCCGGGATAATTGTTGCACTCAGGGGCCAAGTAGGACATTATATTATTGTTTACATAAAACATCTTTTCTTGTTCCACTGACAGTGGCTTGAGGCTTTACGTAAAGGAACAGATTCATGCTTGAGCTGGCAAACTAACTAAATGCTAAAATAAGAACACTGCAAACAATGCACCAGGGCATTAAAGAGGAGGCATAAATAGACAGGACAACGCAAAAAAGGCAACAAAAACACACTGTATTATTGAATTAGAGTAGATTCGGCTTTCTTCAGCTATTATCATATCTATTCCAGAGATCACAGGCCTATGTGCGTGAGTCCATTTTTAGTGTTAATGTGTCTGTCATTGTGTGTGTGCAGAGAGCAGCACCCACATTAGCCAGGTCAGTGGCAGTCTCATGGGATCCCTGAGGACAGGCTGTTAGTTTATATGGCTCGCTGAGCAGGCCTGCACAGAAGAGCCCAGGTCTGCCAAAGCAACAGCTTGAGAAGAGCTCCACTGTGGCTTGTTTTTCTGCAACATTCAAGACAACACAGAAATAGGATGTATCCTGCTGACAAACCACAGCGACGAAGAAGGAGGGGAAGCCCAGATTACCTTAAGGGAACAAAACGCACCAAGCCATCCAGTTGAATCTGGATGATCAAAAGAGAAAGTCTTGAATGCCAGAGGAGCTTTGGGAGACTGCCATTTGTAGATCTGAGCACTGCTTTTAACACCATCACTCCAAGAGTACCCACCAAACTAATAGACAGGATTTTCTGTTCCCAGACAGATGAAGTGGGCCCCATCTTTTTTTATGACTAAGCACCAGTTCCCTGAAGGGCTGTGTGCTGAGCCTCCGACTTTTAAACCCTTTACACACATCACCGCACCTCCACCCACTCACACAACGCTATAATCAAGTTTGCAGGCGACTCATCTGTGCTGAGCTTCATCTCAAGGGAAGCGGAAAAAGTATTCTAGGATGAAGTCTAGGGATGGTGTTTTGGGGGGAAAAGACTCAAATAAATGGATCAAATCAGAGCTGTGCAGAGCTATTAGTTATCTGGGTGTTGTTGATGGTCTTTTATCTTTACCTGGACAAGGAAAGGACACACTGGCTAATTGAATCAAAGTGCTAGAATAATAAGGGTCCAGTACAGCTATTATGTTTCTTGTCTCCCTTTAAAAAATACCCTATTTCCATCACCCTGCACGTGCTGAGCGATGTATAACTATTTGTTACCAATAAGTGCCCCTTAAGAGTATTCATCCAAGTGCATTACTTTCACTCATCTACCAAAAATGAATCTCTTTAACTTCAGATTTTGATATTCATGTTGTTCACATATGAAAGCAATCTTTAAATTGTGTTTACAACCACCATTTCTCCAGAACTGTTCACTGGGGCGTGGGGATTAGATATCATCCCAACATAAGAACGAAGAGAGGCCTTATCATACAGATTTGAGCAATGTAAATGTCATCTTTATATTTGCTCTGCCCTGCATTCTCCAAGGATTTGAAAAGTATTTACAGTGTTATCTGTTGTTAAAAATATTCAGAGTGGTAGCAGTCTCTGGTCTTAAACTGAGATGAATACAGTGCAAGACTATATACAGTGTAAACAAATCTTATATTTGAGGGTCACATCCAGGAGATAAGGCCACACAGACAGTTTTTTTTTTTATTGACATTTCTATGACTATACAATGTATATGTGTATATACATCCAACATAAAACTACACCAGATCTCAAAACGTATGCTCAAATATTAATTTCAACAATAATATAAAACTTTCTCTTCATCAGCTTTTACCAGAAACCAGATTATAAACCAGAATTCCTTTGACAAACTCTAAAAGTTCAACGGCTGCTGACAGAAGCAAACATGCACAATTGGGTAGTCGTTCCTGCCATTTCGCATCACAAATATTGACTTTTGCTCGACCAGCAGCAGCTCCGGTCTGTAAATGAGAATGTCAAACAAAATTTTGCAAACTGGATAATTTCCTCTAACTGAAACCTGGTTTTAAACCACTGGTCCCGGTTCTTGAGGAAATAATCTGGACTGAAATGAAAAATGACAGTGGAAATAAACAAAGATTATTTTGTGCCTGCCCGATGACCTCTCATAGCCTTTCCCTCTGGATGGAGCTCTGTTATTGCGAAAGCAAAAAAACATTGTAAACAAAAATAACTTGCTATGGCCAAATGGAAGGGGAAAAAGTCATCCATCACATGTTGCAATTTTCCCAGGCACTTATTTATCTCAATTCCAACATAAAGCAAAATCATTAAGGGCTGTTATAAAAACATCTTTATGAATATACAGAGAGCTGAATGATTTTCTCATTTTTTTCTCTCAAAGGAGACAATGCTTTAGATGAATTCACTGACCAATAATCTTTAGTTGGCAGTGAGTCAGTGAGAGTTTGAGTTGCATTGTTTAAAGAAAAAAAAAGGAAGCCACTACTGTGACTGTGTGTGAGCACATGGTGTCTTTTGGGAGGGCAGATGGTCTGGATTCACCCTGCAGGCTCTCTTCTCACTTCTCTACAAAGCAGTAAATCTGTCACATCAAACTCAAGTGTGCAGCCCAGGTACAAAAGCAACGGCGTTTGGCCAACATGTAATTGTTTTTTCGCTCAGTGCTAGCTCTGAATCTGTTATGATTTAATTTAGTTGAACATCATCTTCCATTTAGTAATATGCCATTCACTCCGTGGATGTATTACAGTGACTACTCAGCCTTGAATTTTTTAACATTTAAATTTTTTTGGTATAAAAAACTAGAAAGGTTATTGGAGAGTGAGAGAAGTACCTCACATGGCTTTCGGTGTATTTTTTGTTCATCCACGAATGTACTTCAAACCATGTTTTATTCAGCTTATTTGTGAAAAAAAGAATAGTTTCCATCTTTCTTTTATGATCTTCTAAAGATATTAGAAGTGTTAACTAGCTGTCATGTTAATATTTAATATGGAATTTGGTACCATACATAAAAGTTAAATGGAAGGATTTTACATATGTAATATTTTATCAAATTAAGCTTACAATGAAATAGTGTCAAGCTTTTTCATGGGTCACAAATAATCTTTGAAGCATCAGTAAGTAATAAATTATGAATTCATGTAATTAGTTGAAATCCACAGAGCAAATAAATGGGCATATGGGTGCCTCAAAACCATATTCTATAAGGGAGTCCCAGCATACAATGTGAACTCAGGACACCTGCAGTTTGTCTGTGAGAGTTTTACAGACAGTGGAACTATGAGCAACTGCTTGTGCAAATTATTCATGAAGTTGTCTGAAATATGAATCAGCCACTAATAAACTTTAAATCTTGTATATAACAGCCATGGCTATACTCTGAACAGACATTTACGAGAAAAAAAATGCAGTGATAATATTGGTTGAAAACAAACATTTTTAGTTAGCCACATCTGTATTACTGGTACTTGCAAACCAAATAAAAGACAAAACAAAAGATTAGGACTAAAACTAAAAAGCATACGTACACCATGTTCAAATGCAGTAATTATCAAAACACTTTTGCACACTGGCCAACATAAAAAAAATTCTGATGAGTCAAAGTTTCTTCTCAGTTGTTTTGGATTTGTCCGTGTTTTCGAACGCGTGAGCTGTAGAATTGAATGCTTCTATGTCTTCTCTGGTGTAAGCTTGTTGGTGGAGAAGAGGATGACGAGAATAAAGTGTAGATTCAGCCCGGTCCTTCCTGCTTGCTTGTCAGTGGTGTGCAGCTCTGCTCCTCCATTACAGACAGAGTGCTTAAACGTAAAGCCATATCCATACTGACACGTAGCACTTGTGAACATGTTACAGTTACATTGCGAGGAGAGCTTTTTGCCCTTGTAAGTTTCAAGACTGATGGCGAGTCTCTTTAGAAGGCTGTTCAGTCCTCTTTTGTCAGACCACTTACACTGTGTCTCTTTGATTTTTTTGTCAAAGCTGTTTGGATTGCTCTGCAAAAGTACGCTGTCTGGATTTGCGTGGCGTTGTCGCTCCATGCCGGGATCCCACATCCGTGCAACAAAACAGAACACCAGAAAATACAGCCTCACTTTGTGCCACCAATCACACGGAAGAGGCCCCACACAGGCTAAAATATTAAATCCCCTCAGCTTCATTTCTCTGGAATTTCAACAAAGATGGCAGCTTTTACTTGAGCTCATTTGGTTAAATTTTATGGTTGTTATTTCATTTATTTGATTTTAGCGTTAGTAAATGTCTCATAACACATAGGAGAACTGGACCATAAAAACACCAACAGGGTATAAAAATAGTGCAGAGGTGCATTATGTGATGTGCATTCCTGTAGTTTCCTCAAATCTGGACATTACTGCCTTTGCCATAAAATCAAACTGAGTCCTCAAGATGTGTTATCATGACTCTTGGTAACCCAAACCATAGATTTTACATCGTAAAGTCGAAGCAAACACAAGTCAACCACCAGTTCTAATACAAACGTGTGGCAGATTCATACACAATGTCTAAAAAAATGGCAGTCACTCTGAACTGCGAGGTCCAGGTGCCAGCAGTTATCTCATCGTTCGCCGTGTTGAAGAGGAACTTGGACGTGAAGAAGCCACTTCAGACAGAGGTGTAAATATAGACAAAGACGAGAAGCAGGAGGTTAAGAACTATGCCGATGACTCCGAGCACAGCCAGGAATCTCTCCTCTGGTGTGCTCAGACGTGGACACGTCACTTCCATGTAAAAAACAACTATAAAAGCTAATATCTACCAGTGATTATCTACACAACTGTACTGTTTATGTGGATTTTTAAACGCTCATTAGGCCTCTGTTGATAACAGCATTCATTTTTGGGGCTGTTTTGGTCCAGTATAATAGCATTAGTTTCTAACTACTCTTTCCTTCAAGCAAATGTCCAGTTGGCTCAAAAGCATTTATCTTACCTTTTTGATCAATTTAGCTGGCATTTGGATTTTCTAAAATCTCCCAAAAAACACAAAGTGTAACAGCTGAGAATGCACCATGGGGAAATATGCTTGCTGCCTCATTAAAGATTAAAGTGGGCTCTGCTTCAGCCCTCTTAGAAGTCATTGGAATGCTACCAAACAATCAGCAATCAGTGCATACATGACAGATTTATAGCGTGGATATGCACTGAAAAAGTACACTTGAAACAAACAGTGAAGGTTTTGTGCTCCTGTGCTGCCTTTTAGGAAGCAGAAATATACAGGTGGCAGTGGTTCAGATTGATATGAGTTTAAAGTCAAACTCAGTCCATGATCCTCAAAACTCAGTACTTACAGTAAATTATCAAAGTACTTTAAGTATGCAAATACTTTAAAAGGTTGACTGGCAGTGTGAGGGAAAGGAGAGTACCGACGTTTCTTTTGAGTTGTGAAGAAAGCCTTAGGTGACCGAGGTGTAGATGTAGACAAATATGACCACTAAAAGATTGAGAATGGTTCCGATGATGCCCAGCACCGCTAGAATTCGCTCCTCCCGGTCATTAGTAGAGTCATCCTCTCTCGCGTGAGCGCTGCAGACATAGCGGCTGCCAGGGACCATGGTTACCATCACAGAGCCCCACTCCCACAGGGTGTGATGCCTTCAGGGACAGAAGGACAGCAAAGTGGACATAAGAGGCAGCAGTGAGGAGAGAGGACAGAGGCAGGAGGGCCAGGGGAGAGAAGAGAAAATAAACAAGTTAATAATTCTTTACATTTAACATCGTCCCCAAAAATAGGTGCATCAATGAAACTTTCCTGCCTGAGTTTGGACTTTCAGCATGAATTTAAAGTTTCATCCATCCCTTTTCTACGCTATTTATTCCAAGCAGGGTAACAGGGGCTGGAATGGCTTATGGCTGCTCTCAAACTCTTATCTCAAGCCTTGTGACTATGTATCATTCATCCACAACTCTCTGACTTCCTAATGAGCACCATTCTGCCGCATTTAAGTTATTTGTACAGTTAGCATGTCAGTTGTGGACGTAGAAGGACTTCCAGTCTGACATATAGTCTTTTTTAATTCCAGAGTCATACTATAATACTAGTAATACTATAGTCAATACATAACAGATTGTTTTCCACATGTTTGCCTAAAACCTCAGAATTTTTGTTTTCACTCACCACCTATGTTATGTTTAAAATACTATATTTCCTCACCAGGATCTTTGACAGAGGCTCACTCCTTCTCTTTCATCCCAATTTCATCAGATAAGTGTCGTCTTTATTTCAATTAAAGTTTCTGTTTAAATTCCATAAAACCCACAGTCTGTGTAATTCATAAGATTACTCTGCCAATGACTTCCTCAGCCATTCATTCTCTTTCATCCATTGTCACTGAGCATTAGAGCTGATGTGGGATCAGTCGTGTATGTTAAAAATAAATGAAGCTGGGTGCTGATGAGGGAATTATCTGTGTTCCCTCTGGGACAACTTGAGAGCACTCAAAGGGAGGAGGTGAGAGGATGTGATGTGAAATATCTTCTAATGTGAACCACCCATACATAAGTACTCTGGTCATCTATGTACCATATCCAAAAAAAGGATGGGTAATTTCCATCCAGTTAAATTCGAAAGAAAGTTAATCTTTCAACGCTTCCTCCCTTTCCTTGTTCAGGTCTTTTTGCTCTCCTGATTCCCCTGACTTCACTTGTTGCTCTCTTTTCATGTTGTTGGTTGGTAAACATTTCAACAGCTGTTCAGGCACCCCAGGGGTGTGCATGTACGTGTACGTGCACATGCGTGTGGATACAGTTGTGCGTTTGTACACAGCAAGAGACATGACAATCTTTTGATGCAGCTTAGCCATTCAGCAGTGTAACGTGATTATTTCCAACCCACTTAGAGGGACGGCACGGCACACCTCAAATGCCACAGCCATACAGAGAAGAAAGATGGGAAAGAACGTGATGTTGATGCAGGAGGACAGATTTGATGATTTGGTGTCAGCTATATGTATGTCATCATCAACCACTAAACAAACAGGTAGTTGTTGACAAGGGATATTTCAAATGTCTGTCTTAAACAAAGAATTTGTTTGATAAAGATTATGTGGCACTTTTTTCTATATGCATCGTAGTCTTTAACTTGAAAAAAAAGACTTCATGTCTTCTGGGTTTTTGGGGATAATTGAAAAGTTACACTGTAAAATGTTTCAGACACAAAATTGTGAGTTCCCCTAAAAAAAAGTCAAGGAAAACTGAAACTCCTTTTTAAATCAATTGTTAAATCAAACCAACTAAGTCCACCTTTGCATGAAAAAATGACTGTGCGGGTGGTACAGCATTTTATTTAAATGAAAACAGGCATATATTCTTTAGTTCAAGTCTCCGTGTTTGTCAAGATTTATGGAAGTTCTGTGTTTAGGGGATTTATAATAGATTATGCATTTCTGACACATATTCTGACTGTATAGCATGCATGTGCGACTTCTGTAATCTCCCCTCCGGCTACGAGCTAAGTCACTGGACTTCTGCCGCTTCACATATACATCAAGTTATTAGCAGAGCCAACTGTCTTGTTCTTTCTCCCTCCATTTGTCTTCTTCCTCCATTCAAAAGCACACATCATAATGAATTGCGGCAACTCAAGCGTTTATTCAGTTATAATTAATATTTGAATACATCCTGTGCGTTCAAACTTCATCCACTTATCTTCATAATTGTAACAAAAGTGCAGAAGCACTCACATAAGATTTTCTTCCTTTGTCCAGTTCATTTTTATCTCTTATCAAAAATACAAGCTTACTGTAAAGTGGCAAGAGTCCTTCTTTTTCATGGAAAATTTTTTAGATCAAATCAGCTGTCGCAAGCGTAAGAAGTTTAGTTTTTTAACTGTTTCTAAGCCTCATGTTTAAGCACTCGAATGTTTCCTAAAAAACGAGCATCACTCTTTCCTGAAAAACGTGAGTGCTCTAAACTTCTTAAAACTCCTGTGTCAAATGCCAAAATATCCATTTAAGTTGCGTAACCTCGGCATGGTTCATGAATTAAACATGACACTTTATGAATTATCAGTGATAGCTTACTGAACTAAGTTAGTGGAGCTTATTTCAACATTAAGCAATGTACAAGAAACCAAGGGGAGAAGCCTCTTCAGGCATTGATATGTTACAATGATGCAGTTCCCTGTCAGCTTTTGGGATTACTCAGGGTTTTGAAACAAACCATGACGTGCGTTCTAGCAAAAATTAGATCATTTTAGGAATTTTGACAATAATTGTGAATATGAACTAGGATTGCGGACTGGTAGAAGGAGGAAGCCTTTTTTTTGTTTTTATTTGTGATTATCTCTTTGTTTTTTTCTGTTTTGTTTTTCTTCTTTCCTGTAGTCAGACTTTTGTTGTTTTCTAATTCCACTTTTCTTTATCTGTGCCTTTTTTGGAATTTTGTAAAATATTTGATTTTAAAAGAAGAGGCCGTGTTTTGCAAGGTGTCTTTTTTGCAATTTTACGTTTTGTATTAAGTCCCGTATTTAGCTATGAACTAAAGGGCAAGATTTAACAGTTGCCTGAAACAATGCGGTGAAAAGTATAGCCTGTTTTATAGCCTGTTTTACAACTTTTAAAGCCCAATTTCACTCTGTGAACCACCATGCAAACTACAACACTTCTGCATGATCGTAAACCTTAACCATTAGGGACTAGTAAGCTTTGTGAAAGCCCCTGAACACACTGGCATGTTTGTATTAAACAACCATAACCTATTTCAAAGCTAAACTAACTTGGACCTGATTATCAGGTGGGTAAAAAAAGAAAAATAATTCAAATAAAGAGGAAGCAACAAAACAATAGTAAATGCTTATATTAGCATATCATTATTGATGAGAAGTCAATTTATGTGAGCAGGCAGAAGCAAAAAGAAATGCTTTTTACCAAGTAGAGAACGATTGTTCCACATCATGCAGAGATGTAAATGTTATCAGCTCTGACAGGCTCATAACACTAATATAATGTTGGTGTTGGATGACATCAGCCTCACATAATGTCAATCTCGGGTGATGAGTAGCTGCAGTTTCACATTGGTGTATTTTTAAAATGATAGCATTAACATGTTACTAAAACAATAGAAATATAAAGACATAAGACGCTGGCTGACCTATGACAACTGTGTTATTTTAATTTTCTCTGGAAGGCCTACTGACATTTAAACTTTTTATACTTAATCCTGCATCATCATTGAATATGGCAGACATTCCATCACTTTTACATTATAATGTTTTATGATCTTACAATGACAAATTATTCTCAAAGTTTTATGTAATGTCAATTAAACTACTGAAAAATTAAATTTGATAATTATGTGTTTAGCTCTTTCTTGATTTTAGGCTTGAATGTGGTCTTGGAAATCAAGTTACTAAGTTTGCTCATGGTGTCAATTAGTCAGTTGGTTTTGTCAGAAACATTTGCTTTCTGTGGTTGAAATTAAAGTTATGAATAGTAACGTTTAGAAAGAATTAATCAAATTTGAACTACGACAAGACAGTGCTGAAAATCCAACATCTTTAACAACAATTTCTTATGGTGAAGAATTAGGATTCGTGAGGTACACAGTGAGATTGCTGTTAAACCAACGCATAAAGCGTCAAACACAATAGCACCAGCGTCACTCCCACGGCACTGTTTCAGTATTCTGTTCATTCAGTTGTGATCACGGAGAGACAGAAGTATTGGCCAATGTAATCAACTGCTGCTGTTTTTGACTTCCCCAAAAGCCTCTCTCTCTCTCTCTTTTTATTCAGTCTCTGCTATCCCACGCACAATAAGGGCTGGTATGAGCAGTCCAAAGTGAAAAGAGGAAGCATCTTCTGCCGTGTGTTTCTCCCACACACAAACAGACAGTCAACTGATTTACATAGTGGCGGTGTAGAAGGCAGACCCTCATGACACTAGAATGTTCCACAGCCTCATTACGAGCTTGGCTGGCCAACGCTGCTAGAATTTCAAGCCTAGCGGCCATCAAGCAGCTGTCACTTCTCCTCAGCCACAGTCCTGTTTTATCCATGTTGGTGCATGTGCGTTTTTTGCAGAGTGATATGGGAGCATCTGTGTGAGGAACGACCAGAAATGGGGAGGAAAAAGATACAAGCGTGCTCACTGTTGGACAGTGACTTCATGACAGCAGCAGAAAGGAGAAAGTGAAAGGGAGAAAGTCTGAGGCAAACACCAGGGGGACCACTAGAGAAGCAGTTCGGATTTTTAGTTTGGCACTGTTTATTCGCGGTAACTACTCAGTTTGACAGTCATTCAAATTCTTTGTTTAGAAACAATTAGAAGAACATGAATGGAACCTTATAGCATGTGATGCATCGGTGGATCTAATTCAAATGCCTCAGAGTTATAAACGCTTTTTGTGTCACATATTTCAATGGTTGTCAGCTTCACAGATTTTTATTCTGTACCTTAAATGTAGAGTTTTAGATTATAGTGTTTTCTCCCTAGGCAGAGCAAGCAGTAATTGCTAGTTTACAGTCTTTTACTTGCTCCGATGTGGATGTTTTACTAATCATTCTGCCGAATGTTGATTGTACTACACCACACGGAAAGCTAAAAAATTAATTATGTAATTGATTATTGAACATTTCAATTAAATAATAATGTTAAACATGACAGAGGCTGGATTCCATGTGATCCACGGACGCTATCATCATGTGACCTAGATGAAACACTTAGACTCTTTGGGTAAAAGCACATGTGTCACACTGGACCTGAATATCATTAAGATTTTGTCAAATCACATGATCTACAGCCAATAGCCCCCTCTGATCTGACATTTCTGTGTCTTCTCTCTGGCTTCTCGGCCAGTAGGAGTGATGCACGCTGGTAGTGGAAGGCTGGCTCATATCTATACCGGGACGCTAATTGAAAAGTGCAACATTCACAGAGACATGTACTCACCACACATTGCACCACGGGGGCAGCCAGTGACTCCTTTGCTTCTTTTCTTTATCCAAGCATGTTTTCAGTATTTGTCTCTCCTTCGTCTGGCTGATTTCATTAATCTCTTTTTTCTTCTTCTTTTTCCTCTTCTCCTCTTCCTCCTCTTGGTCCCCGTCCTTTTCCCCTGTTGTACCACTGTTGTTCAGGTCCAGTTCTGTCGCTGGTGGCACGCACACACACAAATGCACATGTGCATTCACACGCGGCTCTGGGTGACACACTGAAAACACACTTGCTGGCTTCAAACCCACACACACAAGAGATTGTGCGCGCCAACACAGTCAAGGTCCTCGAGAGATCTTGCACTCCCGCTCCGCTTCACACAAACACACAGCTGGTCTATCCACAGCTGGATGGCGAGTGGGGCATTGTGCCTCCTTTCGTTATTGCTTTTAGGAATCTGCAATTGAGTCTGGAGAAAAGGGGGCTCCTAACTTAATGCCGCTATGCCAGCCATTGTGCCATTATTCAGCCAAGGACGCAAAAACAAAGTGTGCATCTGGCTCTCAGCTGAATGAAGGTTTCTTCTAAAGCTCAACAAGAATCTGGACACATTTCCTTAAGAGCCCCCCCCCCCCCCCCCCCCCCCCCCATGTCCATTCTCTATAATGATGCGATTTTCTGAGACAACAAACAGCTTTGTTCTGTCCAGAACAGATTAAAGATTGCAAAAGGGTCACTTGTGTAGATTTATCTCATCGGGCAGTGAAGCAAAGCGATCCTCAACACAAATGAAGCGTGCCGGTCCAGCATTTAAATTAGTTTCATACATGATGACAAGGAGAGAGTGTTCTTATCCTCGTCCATCCTGCTGATCTCTCAATTATCGATTCCTCTCCTTTTCACTTTTTCGCTTAAAAGTCCAGCTCGTCTCTCTGCAGTCATTCTTCTGTTCCAGCGTTTGACGAATGTGTAGAACTTAACTTGTTTCAAATCAATATCCCAATTTTCACACACTTGATCATCATCTGATGCAACTTGTCTGCGTCAGTTGCACTTCTTCAATATTCCCTCAGTGGCAAGTGGGAAAAGGTTCCTCCCAGAGTGGCCTGTCATAAATAATTTACAGGAACTTCTTGGTGTGTTTCTAGCATGGTTAAGGTTTCCGTGCCCCAGTCAATGTGTTCATATCTCTTAGGGTCTGCGGTTTTCTTCTTTTTTCCAACTTTGGCTTGGATCTTTGTCACAGTTTTTAAAATGTGCCTTTATCTCATCTAATTTCTTTGTAAAACATCACTCATCCTTATCTATCATTTTTTGCCTCTCCTCTGGTAAGCATTCCAGAAACCCCCTCACCTATTTGCAAACGTCAGTCCTTTAGGATCTGGAGCAGTTGGTAATGAAGCTTGCAAACTGTTGCTGTTCCTCGTCCACAGTCCACCTTGCAGCAAACCTTCATTTAGCCTTCCCTCAGCCAGTCTCGATCATACTAACCACTTAACTTTATGAAGCTCACCCTCTTCCTGGCTCACTCTCTCTCTCTCCCAAACTGATTAACTTAGCCTATATCTTACTCAATGCTTGCCAGTGTGGCAGCTTTTTTCCTCATCCCGTTCTTCGTCTATCTAATGACAGCTCAGTTTTGGTCAAGTCCTTGTTTTTTTCCCCCAATAAACCTTCTTCTAGTTCCTCCGTCTCACACTACCCTCCTTCTTGCATGCAAAATACACGTTATTCTCACTGCTGTGCTCTGACTCATACTGCCCCATCTCTCCTCCCTTATCCTTCCAGAAGCGTGCTTGTGTTCGTCTTTCCCAGGAACCCGTCAGGATTCCTTCAGTACATCATTTTCATCCCACCAGAGGAATACCTGTGTGTCCCGTTGGGAGCAACAGAAGGTCTGCGCTTCAATGGAATGCCAAGCAGAGAGATGAAATCTAAAGGGCAAGTCACACGCCGCACAGTGGCAGAAGTTTTTTTGTCCATTCCATTCTCTAACTGTCTTAGTTGGATTACAGGTGGTTATAAATGTTTCCTCCTCTTGTTAGTGACGTTTCTTTTTATTTGTTGTGGTCTCTGATGCAACTTTGCTTCCTTTCTTCTGTCTTCAAAGCCAACTGCTGAAGTACCCACTTGTGACAGTCTGGAGAAAACAAAGGAAAGTGCCAAAGCATTGGTACTGGTCCCTGAAAACACAATCACAGAAAGACCCTCACAGAGAAGCAGAACACAGAGGACATGGAAGGAAAAAAAATGCCCCCAGGAACTGTGGAAGTGACAGGAGAGGAGTTACTGAGGGAGAGAGGAAGCTAAGGTGGAGGAGGGTGCTCGTGTGTGGGTGGAATGGAAAGGAGATTGTGGGATGGATTTGGAGTTTTAAAAAAAGTGGGAGCTTGCTGGGTAATGAGAGAAGGACAGGATGTTTGAACACTGGCACAAGGATGGATGAAGGGATGGGGATGGCATGTGCATGAGATGGATGAGTAATATGACAGGTTGACTGTTCTCTTCTGTGACATCCACAAAAATCTTTCAAGCTTTTGTTATGGGAGAAAAAGGCCCCTCCAAGTCCCTAAGAGTCAAAACTATTAGTATTCAAATGATTGTACATTAGCATTCCATTCATATTTATCTGATCAGCATTTACCTGTATGGGAATCCTGGCGTGCTCTCTGACAATGAACTAGTCCTCCTTTTTAATTTCTACCTCTCTCATCGCTCTCTCTCTGTCTGCTGCTGCCGCTTCAGACTATGCTATCACTAAAATGCAGCATCCCTCTTCCCTCCCTCCTACACCTCTTTTCTGTCTCTCCCACGCTGATTCCCTCATTACCCTCCCTCCATCTTCCCCCCATGCTCCCGTTCTCTTCATATTTCTCCTCCTCTGTCTGCACCTTTGTCTCCCTCTGTCCCATGTGCTCTCTCCTTCCTTTTTCTGTCTCTATCCATGACCCTACCCTCTTTCTTTTCTTACCCCCATTCTCCATCACCATCTCTCCCAACTCCCGCTCATTCTCGCCATCCTTTGCTTGCTTTTTCGAATCCCTCCCTCTCTGAGAGAAGCTTCGAGAACACAGTGGACTCCGCGAGAGGAAGGCTCTCGGGACACGTGAAAGCCATTCATAACTCTCCAACATGAATAATACACACAAATACATTCATATCTTCTCATCTATATGCATATATGTGAATCCAGCACAGAGACTGCCTCCCTCTCACTGGCTGACAAAAAACCTATGTCCTTCTGAAAAATGTACATATAGTGAAGATTTTGTGATACAAGAAGTCAGAGTTCAGCCTATCATGTCCAAACACATACTGAAAATATAGATACTGAAATAGGGATTTCCATAGAGGAAGATGCAAATCGCTGAAAGATGTAGAAGAAAATACATTTAAAGACAAGTGCAGCAGTCATGCGCGTATGCTTAAGGGGAAAAAAAACAGTTATGAGAGTTTCTGCATCGATTTCTCATGAGCAAGGTCTTATTCTCATAGAAATGACTTAAAAAATAATTTGTGTGACCAGAAAAAGTATAAAAATGGAACGACAAAAAGTGTGATTGATGTTCCTATGTCTGGATGCCCTGCACTGAATATCTGTGTATGCATGCATATACTATATGTGCTTGTATAGTGTCACTCTTATTTCTGCGTGCGTGTGTTTGCGTGCGTGTGTGTGTGAGTGTGAGTGAAAGTGTGCATGCAGCTGGTTAGAGCTGTTCTTTTGGCCTCTAGCATCACCCAGCGCCACCATCTGTGTTGCCAGCCATTCTGGAAGGGTGCATGTGTGCATGAATGTGTACATTTATTTAAAGTGAGCATGTGAAACATTAAATTATGTGTTTTTTGGAGTGGTTCAAATTATCACTGAATGCCAGGCTTTGTACTTCTGCAACAGGGAAAAATCTTTCATCCCTGTTCATATGAAACAGTCTCTACTCATTTATTGTACCAGAGACGCAATGTGAACCACAATTCTGTTCTGTAATATCGGTGCAACACACAAACAAGTAAAGTGATGTTATGAATAAAACTTTTGGCATTGCAACCATATCGATGAAGGGCAGAGCGACTTTATAATTCAACTCTTGATGGACTCTTAAATGGAATAAGTACATTGAACTGAAGTGGCAATGAGGTAAAGCCATCTATCACTCCTCTGTGACTTTAAGCTAGAAATTCAACAGTAGCAACACAGCCTGTTCTCATTTCAAGTTATGAGACAGGATATTCATCACACAAAATAACTTGTAACTATCCCTGTCACTTGTCTTAATTGTATATTTCGTGAGCTACTGCTTGTTCCGACAGTGACTTTGGATCAGTAATAAATAATAGGACATGCAGTGAGATTAGCTTGGAGCCAATGAGGACTAATGTGAAGGAGTTTAATGGGAAACTCTGATTATTTTAGAGAGTGACGCACTGGAATGAGAAAAAAAGTTACCTTGTGGGCACTTGAATTATGAATCAGTCATTAATAATATTTAGTCCACTCCTTTGTATTGTTACTACAAATAAATGAACTGGTGAATCGAACAGTCCACAACATTCACCATATTTTTTTAACCCTTTCGAGTGAAAACAAAGTTGTTGCACAGGGGTACAAGGAGAAACAATATTAAATAAAACACAAATATTACCATAACAAATGACCCAGCTCCTGAGTTTTTTGTTCAGTAGAGATGTTCCAACGTACACAGCAGCTCTAAAAGTCTTGATGATTTACAGATGAAGTGATAGTATGACAGAATGATGTCTGCTGGACATGTGCCAAGATGTTATAATGTAGGCCATGTTCAGAGGGGCAAAAGGGTCCCACAAGACAGAAAGTGGAAAGTACAAATGTACATATTGGATAAGGTACATGGAAGCAGAACTGACAGGATGAATAATCCTACTAAATACTTCAAAAGACGGGGCAACTCCACTCCAGGAGTTAACATACTGTAATGAATTTCATGTTTTTACTTGGAAAATAAGATAACAGTTTCATGTATGCTCATTGCAGACATGAATTAAAATGTTCAAAAGTGAGCATAAAAACGAATTTTATAACAAGCAGCTGTCAGGCACATAGAAGACAGAAATCAACGAACAGGTATTTTTCTTGTTAATTTATCGAAAAAATACGATAAATTAGAAACAACAACTCAGTGGAGGCATGTTTTGGGGGTCTTGTGCAGCTATTACAATGAGCAGCAAGTTTGGACGTTTCATCCGGAAAAAGTTGAATTTCCAGTCACCTAAGGCTCAGGTTTAGCTTTGCATCCATAATCACAGCAAGATGAAGCCCTTCATTCTGATGAATATGAGGCTTAGGAGTACTTTATGTTGATGGTTTCACTGGCAAAGATAGATGGCCATAGCATTAGATGTGTTTGTCTGCTAATGGACAGATGTTTGTGTGTACTTGCATGCTTTTAAGTACATGTCTGTCTTGACAGTTTTAGAGTGAAACCTCAGACATCTTAATTTAGTTTTTCCACTTCATTTCTTCCTAATTTGCCTTCTTATCGCCATCCAGTTGGGTTTTAGCATCTTTTGGGATATAATTGTCTCACATAACAATCTAACGCAGAAATGCCTATAAAGTAACAGTTACTATAAAGAAGAATAAAATCTAATGTAATCTGGTCATGAACATGGTTTTACCCCTCTAATCTTATCTAAGTTTATATAATTCTCATTCTAGAATAAGCTATTCTTCTACTCTATTCTCTATGCACCTTCTTCGTTCCTCTAGAAGTGATTAACTGTAAAGTATTAAGACATCCCATCCATTTATATCCAGTTTAATAGGGTTCAGGGATACATATCGTCTTAAAAAGACAGATCCATTAGAGATAATGAATGTCACTGTTAAATCGTCTGCTGGCAAAGATTATCATCACTTTTATACCATCATTTGCCACTGTTTCTCACTATATCTCTCTCTGCTGTCTTGTTCCTCTAAAGTATCTCATTAATTGGCCTCTTAATTTAAAGTTCAATCTTAGTTTAATTCTGACAAATGAACAGTTGCAGAAGTCAGAGCTGTCGTGAAGCGATCCGGCAAAAACATGCACTTCAAACAAAAGCTAATGACAACAGGGGGATCGTTATAATCTTTAAGATGTGTTTACATCCAAGACGCAGCAGAAGAAACATACAGAGTGTGGTTTTGTTTTTGTTCATTGCTCAGTAAAATCAGCTGCTTGGAGCTACTCAGGTGTGAATGGTTGTGTACAGTTGCAGACTCAAGAAATTCTCCTGAAGCCATAATTGAAAGTGTGTTCAGTACCCTTGCCTGGGTAAATGAGAGAATACAAAGTTTCCCCTGAGGCTTTAGTCAGCGCAGTAGAGAACATTGCAAACAGATGGGACTACGAAGCCCGCGGCTTGTTTTGATTGTGAACGTGGAAATAGGAAAATCAATGAAAGGTAACAAAAACGCACTGATTTTAAAGACACCAAATAAAGGAAAAATCACTTTCGGCTCCCACCTCAGTAGGTCAGCTCCCCCATAGTGTTCCAGTCATACATGTCGATTTAACTGAGTTGTACATGTCTTTGCTTTAATTATATGTATAATACAGTTGGGAGCCACTGTGATTCTTTACACATTCCTTACTGCCACAATGTTCACAAGGTGGAACTGACATAGGTCAGTGGTCAGGAATCCCTGGAGAGCAGACAGGAGTGACCATGTGGTAAAATAGTAGGATGGGGACACATTGGACTTACTGTAGCATCTTTAAGCAGTTTTACTGTCTGTCTACACTGCTGGTCTGCTGGTGCTTTCTTGATATTACAACTGAATGCAGTTGTCCTACATACATGAGCCTGCTTATCAGGAGATTATCCGAATGAGAATGGTTCAAAATGCAAGAACAATAGCCTCAAAAATAGGTTTTTCACAAACAGAAGAAATACCAGCAGAAGTGCAATGGCCCTTCACTGATGATAAAACAATACATGACTGCCTCCCTGTGGTCTGAGAGAAGAAGCTATATTTAATTTAGCTTCGATTCATTTGACAAAAATAAAGAGATTTAGTCAAATTAGATAGAATCCCTTGGTGTTGTAATGTCTTCCCCCAGTTTTGAAAATTCCTCCAGACATGGCTCTCTCCTTTATTTCACTTTAAGATGATTCTTTTTTATTCAATCCACTGATTTTGATTTCATAATGACTTTACTTAATTTTGTGCATGAAGATACCCAGAGATGAACTTTTCTGTTAGCTGAACTGCATTTTAAAATATTAAAAGCATGCTTTTACTGCTTTTCATCTCAGTGAACTGTGATTAATTAAAGCAACAATTTACTTTAGGATTCTGGTGTCTTTTTTTTTCATATCTCAACAGCCGCTCGACAGAATGACCCCCAAAGCAAAGGGAATGGAAAAAAGAGAGGGAAAAACAGGATAAACCTAATATATGAGAGGGCCAAGCATGAAAAATTGTTGTGAGGGTGAGACAATAAGTGGAAATAATTATGGCCGCCAGTGTGCCATCATTTTGTGGCTCGTTAGATAATTCATAACAAGACAATCGCAGAGTCATGGAAAGTCATCTTGCAATCGTCTTTATTCATATCACAGATACCCTGTGCCATCATATTTTAGGCAATAAAAATAGGAAACGATTTTAATTCATTCACTGTTAAAGTTGTTCAGCATTTTCCTCAATTGAGAAAACCTCAAATTACATTCATAAGACATCAAAATGAAAATTTAAATCTGCCTTAAAATGATACGACACAAAATTCATGTACTCTCACAGAGCAGTGTGCTGTTTTAATTAAATCAAATTAGTCTTTGTGTGACTGAACTATTGATTTTCTTCCAGCATCCATGTGAAAAAAAACTACTGATAGCATTCGGCCCTTCATCATACTTTTGTAAAAAATGAGTGAAGGCTCTTTTAATAAGTTTGGAATTTAGGCTAGGTCAATGACTAACACAATGTTGATATTCTAATAAGTGGTTGGCAGTTTTATTAACAGCAGAACAGGTTAATACTGAGCTTGGGAATCAGAAAAAGCCAGTGAAAGGCCTGCTTTCCTTACAAAACTCTCTCCTATGACCCTAAGAGTTGCAGAAACAAAATAAAACATCTAAAAGAGACAAACGGGAAAAAGTAACACTGATATCGTGTGAATTTTAGGTTCACTAAGAAACTGAATAAAACGTTGTACCTTCATTAGGGCATTTTGTACCTTCATTGTTCCTGAAATTCGAAACCCAGAAGTCTACGATGCAGTGTTATTTCTCTGGAATCCACAAATATGCACAGTTTTTCCTTTCCTATAATAAAATTTTGCTTCTTCGTTCACTCTCATGTGCATTATCTACATACCAAATGAACATTTTATTTTATTTTTTTTTCCAAATGAACATATTCTTAATAGCTTATTTTAGAAATGTTGATTTATCATTAGGCAGCAAAACGGAAAATTATTGGGTTTATTATTGAGTCAAACTCATACTGTGTTCAATTGTTGTTAAGGGAGAGATAGTCACAAGAGGTCATTCAAAACAATGACTCACTGATGGTTTGCTCTTGACCTTAACAGAGTAATTTTTAATGGAAATCAGTCAATTAAGTCATCTTGATCATTTTGTTGTGATTCTTGGATCTATTCGGAGGTTGTTTTGTTTAGTAACAATTCTTGGCTGATAAACTCATTTTAAACTCTAGCTGGGAAAGTGATCTTTTCTACTTTACTATTGTTACTTTCGTTTTCTTTTACCTTTTCTTTCGTGTCATGTGGATAATATGAAACACCAATCTATGGATTGTACATATTGCACATAATTCTGGTTTCCCGAAATTTAAAAACACCACGTATTTATCAGCAACGCGTCTGACAACTTTGCTTGTGTGACACCGCTTCAACTTCTTTGCTGCTAACCACAAATAACTCCTACATCTTCCCCATGGGAGCAGTTGTGTTTTCCCACCTTTGACCTCTTGCAGAGCAGCAGCGATCGCTCCCAGCCCGCACACTCCACATCATCCAGCAGGATCCTCACGCTGCTGCCGGCCTCGCCCAACGCCGCCCTCTTCATCACGGCCAGCGCCGTTGTGAAGCCAAGCTGTCGGCAAACAACCGCGCCCGCCCTGCTGGTGAAAAGGTCATCGCACACTGTTCCCCACTCCCCGCCGATGAGGATTTCTACTCTGCCTCGATCGGATAAATCGTCGTTACTAACAAGTCGCACCGAGCCATCCCGCAGCCTCCTTCCTCCCCTGCCTCTCTTGTGACCACGGCCTCTGCCTCTGGGCCTTTTGTGTATCTGGTTACCCGCTCTCGTATTTTCCAGTTTCTCTCCAGTCCGTAGCTTCTCCTCCTGAGCTTTTGGCGGCGTGGTGCTGATTGGCGTTGTCGGGGACTTGCCAGTAGAAGCAGTGGGACTTTGCGCTAAATATGGTGCCCACGTTGTGGTCAGCTTTCCTGGATGTTTGGGATGTTGTGTTGGCATCAAAGCAGCCTGTGGTTGTCTCGTGATTGTTTTGGGTGGAGATGGCTGCGGTGAGCTCGCAGGTGGAGAGGTGGTACCAGTGGGGTTCTGGCGGGGTCTCCCAAATCTCAGTGTCGAAGGTGTAGCCATGGTCGTACTTTGAGCCATCCTAGAGAAGGCTGCATTCTGGATGGTAGCACGATAACCTGAAGGAGAGACAGAATTACTTTCTTTATTTGAATATTAATTTATTATTGTATCAATCTAATACATTTTTAAATAACTGTAAATAATTCTGGGAAATTGTCTGATTGATTTTGTGTTCGTTGGTGGATAAATATGGTTAATATGCTGCTACTTTCAGCAGAGAACTAGCCTGCTGTAAAGGCTACAAAGGTTACCATGCCTGAATCTATGGAAACAAAATCCAATGGCATGTTTGTGATACAAACCACAAAGTATGAAATCCAGCAGTGAGATATTAAATTGTTATGATTTTATGAGCTTTAGTGTCACGTAAAGATCTAGTTTTGCTATTCAGCCCACAAATTTGTCTGAACAAATCTAACAGGACCCCTTGCTAGATTTCGCCAACCCTTTTTAAAACCATGGTCTCTTAGATATGTACATGATGTTCTTTGCATCTGAATCTTAATGCACTTGTCCTGGCAATAGTTAAGACCATGATAACTAGCAACAAACTAAAATAGGTGGTTTTTGTGTCGAAAAGAGTAGTCATAGCAGGGACTCATGTATGACTAATTTTTTCAGCATGTCGTTCATTTAATCTCTTCAATTTTTTTTTTTTAGCTATCTTCTTTTTAATCTGTTATCGAGACTCGGACACATAGCTCTGGGCTAGGCTTAGGATCCATTTCCACATGTTTTGTTTGTCTCCCAGTGTAACTCATGGGCTACTCACTCTTTTGGCCAATGTGAGGAAATATGTTTAATTTCAGATGGCTTGACAGTGAATGTTAATTAGCAATAGCCAAGGGGCTAATTTGAGCTTTTCTTCTGTTCTTTTATGTAAAACTCACATAGATTTACGTTGTTAAAATGTGCCTCCATACATTTTACAGATCCCATAATTTGGTGTTTTAGATAAAGTCTTCTAAACCTTGTTTCACCTGCAAACAAGTGGTTCTACAGGATGTCCACTAATTCATTTATAAAACTTCATGGTATAACAATTTAGTTAGTCAAGGAAAAGAAAAAAAACGTTAGTTTCTGCTAATATTATTCAAATGAAAATTGAATAGAGATGTGGAAATGTGACAGGCATAGGTTATGATGAAGAGAAAACTTTGAGCTTGAACTTCAATGCAATAATTTTGATTAATCAATTACTGGAAAAACAATTCACTAAATTAAGCACTTTTAATTACACCTATCTCTATACTCTAATTTATGTTGAAATAGTGACACTGATGCACACACTCCAGCCCAGCAGGTGGTGGTAATGTACCTAAAGTCTATTTGCCAGTCATCAAAAAGATACCTCTATCTCAGTTTCGACCTGGCATTATATACAGGTCAGATAGAGGGCTGTACTGTCCAGTCGGACAGATTTAAGCAGCTCGATCACCTACATTATATATCTATCATTATTTCAACTTACAGCTTTTTCAGCAGCAGTAGATGTACTATAATGAATCTGTGAGCAAAAAAACATGCTATTTCACACAGTCAGTAACAGCATTTGATGTGATAGAACGAAAACTTTAACGTTCCATATCTTACAAACAACAAATTGATCCTTTGAGCTTTTAGCAAAATAACAATGAAAATCCCCAAATATTAAACTATTGCTGTAACTCTTATACTAAGATAAGTTATCACAAAGGATAGAAAAAAGGGACATGGACACAAGACACACAAACTTAAGCTGATGCAGAAAAATTTATTAATAATGAATAATGTCAAAGTTACCTGATTTGAATTAAAGGAGTGCAAATATTTTTCACATAAATTAGCACCGTTTATCAGGCTTAAGACATTTTACCAGCCAAAAAAAAGCATGTCAGCAGGTTTAAAGCAGTATTGAAGGCCACATTAGCCATATCATTATACCTGAGTAAGAAAAAAGCTTGTGCAATAAAGTTTAAATCTAAAGTGACCCACCTATAGTTGAAAAAGAAGCACACTTATCAAAACCCTGAACACTGCTGTAAATAATCTAGTACGGAAACAATTACATTTTTCAGTCAACATTTAAACTTGCAAATGCAAACCCTGTTTTAATTTAAATTCAAATATTGTGTAAAACATGATTAAAAACAGAACACAGTGATTTGCAAATCTCATTCATTAAACTAAATACACCACAAAGACCACATCTGACCTTTGAACTGAGAAACTCATTTTAATTTGAAGCTTTAAAAAGCTGGGAAAGGGGCATGTTAACTATTGTGTTATATCTATCACCTTTCTTACAACAAACTGTTCAAACTTTGCAGATTGAATTCTTTCCAATTCCAATGTAGGACCTCACTCTTTCAGCAATGCAGCATGTATTATCAACAACTTGTTTGTACCTTTCAGCATTAACAGTGCCTTCACAGATGTGCAAGTTATCCATACCATGAACACTAACTTAACTCAATAGCATCACACATGTTGGTTTTTGGATTTCTGGAGAATTTCTCACGAGTAGTGAAATTCCATCACTCCTTGCTTGTGAATAGCTGACAGTTTTCAAGATGCTCGGGATGATACAGGCATCAAATTCAAAATGAGTAAACATTTTAAAAACACAAGATTATCAGCTTAAACATTTAACATTGAGTCTTTGTAGTGTAGTCAGTTGGTTGATGAGGATTTGCAAATTTTTCTGTCCCATTTGTTTGTAGGTTTTACAGAATCACCCACTTTACTTGGAATTGGGGTTTGTATTTAATGTAATTTTCTCTATACCATTGTTTTTCATCCTCACAGACATGTTGCAGATTTAGTGCTAAGACTGAACTAATTGTATCAGAAAAAATTGCACTTGTTCAGCTGTGTATTGTACGCCAAATGCCGTGCTTGATAACCTTTTTCAAAAAGATTGTAAATACAACTATAGAATTATTTTAGGAAAACATGGTTCGCTTGCCAAAGAAAATATAGTTTTCATATCTTACATGAGGCCTGATCAACTACACTATTACAATAAGACATCCAGATGCCATATTCTTTCTCAGACTTCGTTTCATAAATAAATTAATGAACCCATACCTAATAGAAATTGGATTAATTCAGAAAGCCTGCTGATGACATTTGAAGTGACTATGAGCCCATACCACTGGAAGAGAGCAGCTGCCATTGTCATAGTTCTCATAGTCTTACAAAGAAGCTAAGCTAATAGACACTTGAAAGCAAATTGCATAAATATCCGAATCCTAAAATAATAATGGAGGTGGAATCTGTTCATTTAGTTTCTAAAGCATCAAAATGTAAAGCAGACATAGAGTGAAAAACACTATACCCTCTGCATTGACGCCTGAGGCCTCTCCTCGTATCAGAGTGTATTCTGGTTTATGTGTGGGTTTAATATTACTCATTACAGACAGTTTAGTGGTTCGATAAACAGTCGGGAGGGAATTGAAGTTATCAGTAGAACTAGTATCATAAGCATTTGCACCAGTAGGCCTACCAGTGGATGTAGTTGTGGTGGGATTTCCAGTGCTCATCTGGACAGTTGTTGGTTTTACTGTGGTTGCTGCCTTTACTGTTGCTCTAATGGTTGGACCTGGGGCGGATAACGTCGTCCTCCCCGTCGTTTTTCTGGTCATCATGGGTTGTGGAGTTGATTGTTGCATTTTTCTTGTCGTTTTTCTGGTTGGCATTGGTGGTTTTCGTATTATTATTGGTTTTCTTATTGATGGCTTTTTGGTTGTTGTTTTTGGAGTAGTGGTTGTGGGAACAGGTGTCGTGGTCGGTTTCTTATCAATTACAAACTCTGAAAACAAGAAAAGAAAGACTTCAGTGCATTTGAAAGTACTGAAAGCCCGACATGTCGCACATGTAAACAAAGTGTCTCTAATGGCAATCTGTCAAGTCTGCTACAAATACGAGAAAGAGTCGAACAGGAGTGTCATGTTTGACTCTTACCCTCTCTGGGGTAGAAATTAATCAGCTTTCCCTTTATCTTAACAGGTAGAGGCTTGAACCTGCATTTTCCTGGTGGCGCTCGTCTGTAAGGTCAAAGAGATAAAAGAAAAAATCTCATAAATGAATATAAAGAATGTTTAGTATAATTTTGTTTGACAGAGAAAATCTGGTTGGTTTTGTGAAAGCTTATTTGTTCTGGATGTGCTGCAGACATTGCTACCTGGAAGGATCCACTATTTTATAGATGACTCCTGCTCTGGCCGTGGCACTCGGGGCTCCTGTGGCTAAGAAATACAATTCACCTGGAAAGATTTACAGACAGATGAGGGAAAGAAGATACAGAAATTAAACAGATGGAGATTAGGAACAGGGTGAGGGAGAAATGGGAGGGAAATTACATAAATTAAAAATTTACTTTGGAAGGTGTCTCACAATTAAGATAATTGCTTCATGCTTTCAAAAGGTTTAATCAATAGTAAAGTGAAAAATCACCAGAAGCATGTGTGCAACACACACAATCTCTTAAATCAAACCAGAACCCTTGTTAAATTTTATCAGCTCCTCAGGAACAAAGGCCATTATGCAAGTTTGTACAGTACCTATACACTATGATACACATGGACACACACAGAGGTTACCTGCTTCATCCTCAGCAAAAGAGATGATGTATCTATAGTAACTGTTTATGAGTTTGGGAAACCTGCAGGTCTGGTCCGTTCCCATACAGATCTCGGTGTACTTCCATTCTCCTTCAGCATTCTCCTTAAGAGACATTAAACGTCTAGAAAGACAAAGATGCGCAATTCATATTTTCAAATGTGGGACATTTAAGACAACCCATGCAGCTTAACAGAGCGTATCCTTATTAATGGTGGATTTACAAATCGAACAAAGTATGACAGTTTCTCAGTGGCCTTTGCCTCTTTGTACGGAGGACAAAATGGTTTCTAAAGAACATTTTTAAAAATATTGACACAGACCCGCTCATGAAATCCCCAAAGATGTAGAGTCCATTGAGGTTAGGCATCTGACAGCCTCTGTAAATGTACCCTCCAGTCACTGATTTTCCCAACTTGTGAGGGTAGGCAAAGATAGGCAAGATGTCATCTGTAATACAAAAAAGGGGTAAGATCATCAGGTTTGTCAAAATAATGACACATGCGGAAATAACTTTGCAGAAACTTTTTTGTGCTCAGTAAATATTTGATCTTTTTGACCATCTTTTAAAGACACAGAATGTCAACTCACCAAGGGATGAGTTTTGACAGAGTTTGCGGTCGTAGCAGCTGAAACCTTCTTTGGCTCTCCATCCATAGTTGCCTCCTTTAAATGATTGTGATCACACAGTTAAACTACTCAGAAAACACAGCTTTGGGACTCACACAGTCACAATGCAATTGGAAAATTCTATTTACCTTTATGGTTAGGGAGCAAATAAGGATTAAGGTAAGTAATTTCTGATATTTGTGAAAAAGATACATAAAATGAGACAATGCTAAGTGATTGTTACAATAACCAGCTTTGTCTGTTGCTACTTGACATCACACCACTTATTCCCAAACATCAAATCAACATATTTCTATCCTGAACCCTTTTTCTGAAGCCATTTGATGTTTTTAGTTAAAATGAATTTGCCAATTTTACTATAGTGACACAGCACCCCTGATGTTGGACACTGCGTTCTTTTCTCATGACAACGGTATGATGAACTTGTTATGACAGCATATCAAACTATCATCTGGAGATGATGAGAAAAGAAATATGTGAGTGTCAGACTACTCCTGAGATTCCTAAGATTCTGTAGTTAATGAATGAATAACTATTCAAGTTAATAACAAATTGCACCTTTGACGATGAGGTCTATTTCTTCATATTTGTTCTGGCCCACGTCCCCACAAAACATCCTGCCTCTGCCTGTGCCTGTGGCAGGATCTCCACGGTCAATGGAGCAACGCCACATGTTGCGAACTCCATATGCATAAATCTCTGCGCAGAAAGAGGAAATGAATATCACACTTTGGTTCTCATTTAGTAAGCTACAGACAGGGAAATCAAGTATGAGAATTTCCGAGATGAACAGAGTAAAAGTCCCTTAACATCACTGTGAGGTCCTTCTATGTAATAAAGTCATTAAACTGATCATCTAAAGAATTTACCTGATCGTGCCTCCTTCTCCCAAATGAATGGGTTATCTGAGGGAATGCTGTATGGGGTCGCATGATCATTGTCGTCAACATCAATACGTAGTACCTTGCCAAGAAGTGTTGACCTGTGAAACAGGGAGCACCGATCAAACGGAGAACATTTTTGGTGAGTTTGCAGGACTGAGGCACCTGTCAGTTGCAATTAGCAACTAACAAAGAAAGTTTAGTCCAAGTCTTTATGTTTAATGAAGCTTTCATGCCATTGTCCTTTTACCCCCTTTCGATTTAACTTCAAAACCTAACTCTCTAGCCTACTCTTTTTTTCAGTTGTAACTAATAAAAAAAATCCAAGTTAGATTCGAGCTGTTGAAGAATGAGCTTTCAAATCAAATGGCAGCCCATTCATATCACCATCTCACTCCAGTATTTCCATTCCCACCTTCCTTCACACTCAGGCTATCCACCTCTCTCCTTCTCCCCTCTACATACCACTGTGTGGTGGTACACAATGTGTAGTGTCAATATTAGACTTGGCAGGGTACATCATTCCTCAAACCCAGAAAGGCATGTCTAAGAATGAAAAAAGAGCCTCACAAACAGTTAATGTATGCCTGAGGTTGCTGCACTAGTTGTTGTTTAGTAGTTTTTTTATGAATATAAAACTCGTTCAAATCATGGAAAGAAATGTCTCTGTCTGGATATATGAGATTAAAGGCTAGATATCCATAGAACAAATACCTGAAATGTACTATAGTTTTTCCATGGGGAACCAAAAATAAAAGATGTATTAGATCCATTATACTGACTTGTTCTGGGAATTGCCAAATTTTCCAAATGGGTCCCCAGCTCGCCCACCATCTCCAATGAAGATGTACAGGTATCCATCATGACCAAAAAGCAGCTGGCCTCCATTGTGATTGGAGGCTGGCTCTACTACCTCCAGGATGGTTCTGCAGCATAGGAGGTAAAAAATATGTTTAACACACCTGTGTAATTCGGGACATAAATGTTATGGCTGCAGATATCTGAGCCGTTACCTCTCAGAAGAATGATCTAGTTGGTTATCATCATGAGGTGAGAGTGTGAACTCGCTAATTCGGATTTTTTCTTGCTTCTTGACAGACACGGAATAGTACACATAGGCCTTTTTGATTGTGGAAAACCTAAATACAGAAAAGACACTCAAAGTAAATTTCCAAGCTCTTCCTCTTCTTTACAGAACTCTCACAAAGAACTGCTACTATGATTGATATATGGACCTTGGGTGGAGGGCTATGCAGAGGAATCCCCTCTCATCTCCAGCCCACGGTGATGTAAGGACAGCCTGGGTGAGGTTTAGGAAAGGCCGGTCAATTCTGGATCCATTGGCAAAATACACCCACACATAACCCAGCTGCTCTGCTACAAAGAAGCGATGAGTTCCATCGTCCGCATGGATCATGGCCACAGGGTTTCGGAGACCATTGGCAACTTCCTGCAGGCACAGTTCCAGGCAGCCTTTGGGATCTTCACGTACCAAGCCCAAGTTAGCATTTAGTTCTAAAGAGCAAAAAAAATCAAAGATAAAAACAGATTTAAAGATATTATTGGTAAATGTAAATACTTTAAAGACAGAGAGTTGGAGGACACGTAATTAAATCACAAATATATGATTAATTATTTTACTAAAACATAAACAATTAACTAAAGGCCCTACAGATCATTATGACAGTGCACAGTGCCATACGCACACACACACACTCACACACACACATGCTTGTACACACCTGATTCAGATAAAACTGATCTCTTCTAAAGGTGCTGCAGCTCTGCACAGGACTGCTGATGTTGTTTTGATGTGAATCAGGTGTGTAGAAGCTGTGCAAATAACTTTCTAACTTTACTTTTACTTTTAGTGTTACCTTCTTTGTGTAACCTCACTTTGTCCCTTGTTTTGGCTTTTAGCTTGCATATGATACTACTGTTTGCTTCTGTTATTTTTGATCAGCTGTGTTCTTGGACTGAGCCTCTACGAAACGCTTGCCTAAAAAGATTTCTATACTGATTGATTTTCCTGGTTTTGAGCTTAGCGTTGTCAGTAAGCCTGACAGTTAGATAATACTTCGAGCCTTTTATGGTCAAGATTGTGGAAAGATGGGGGCTTATCTTTTCCTGACATGGCCTGGAGAATCCAATGGGATATTTTCAAGTGGTGGTCCACTATCTATAGATATTACTGGCAACAACATTTCTAATTTGAATTCTAACCTTGGTCAAATATTATTGATTTTGCAAAAACTTTTTCTGCTACTATAGAACCTTGGTCTGTCATATTTATCATGCCCTCTGTTGTAACCATACCTGCATTTGTCAACACATTGGGGTAGCAATACTGTTTGTCCTTTAGTTCCAGAAAGTCACAGAATCTTCTGTGGTCCTCCTCTATTTTGTAAGTGAGGTTTGCAAACTGTTGTGGGTTCCCCAGTTCCTCCAGGAGGAGGCTGAGCGTATATCGGCAATGCATCCAGTAGTCAGAGCAGTAGGCCCTGCAAAGCCCAGGCAGAATTCTCATGGGTGTGTTGGCATCCTCTGCATCGTACAGGTGGGCAGCATAAGGTGAACACTCCTGAAATTGAAATAAAACTTGTGATTATGTTTGGCAAAGTGCATCATAGAAAAATGTGCATACAGATTTTTATCAAGTGTAAAAAGTGTCTTTTGAAAAATGTTTCTTATGCAGATCTTAGATATTTCAGATTAATACGATGGCATTTATGAAGCACATAAACAGAAGACAGATATATGCATGAAAAGCACCATAGCTCATCACGGCCTCACTTTTACTGGTCAAGCCTCGGTTATAAACAGCAAAGTATAAATGGATCCAAGGCAGGTCCACTCAGTTATTAAGTCACAACCACAGTCTCCACACCCATGGATGGTGAGCTGCAGGCACAGGCACGCACGACACCCAAACCATCATGTGGTTGACTGGTGCACTTTTCCCGAATGCCAGATCATCACCAGGTCCACAATTCTAACAGCAGACTGCATGTAAAACAAAGAGTTTGAATGGTGGATTTAGTCTCTAAAGCTCTGCAGATCCATGTGAATAAAGCCTGACATTGGGTACAAATCTTTTTGTGATTTACATATTTGAACCGTCTATGATCATTTTCAACAGACATGTTTCAGAACTTATACCTGGAATCCTTCTTTACATACCTTTATTTATGCATATCTACTAGGTGATTAAATAAAAGTTAACTTGGTTATTTCCAACGGGTTGCATAAATTGTTTTATGGATGTTGCATTCTTTGTTTTAGAGACTGACTCGACTTGCAAATGCTTTTGGAGAAGTGGAGACACTAAAGTTAACAAGTTGCTTCTGCTTTTAGTTTTACTTGCACAACAGTATTTTTAAAGTGACAAAGACATTAAATGATTTCAACAGCAACAACAAATCAACATGTGCGTTTGACTTTTTGAGAAAGTGGTCATGGCCAATATCAAGTTTGATAGTGAGGCAGAAAATGTGATAGTAGACCATGGATCTCTGGGGAAGTTGAATGGCTGGAATGTGAAACTAAACCTAACTGGGTTAAATATATTCAGGAAAAGGTTATCTCAGTTAAGATTTTCTCATTGCAGGGAAAATATCTCCTTCTAAACTCCCCTTCTCTCAGTTGCAGCTCAAAAGAGCAAGCACAAGCCTGAATTGCTGATGGCAGCAGATTGAAGGTTTTGAAGGTAGATGAAAGCTTGATTGATGGTTTGCTGCCTTCTTTGTCTTGCTTATCATGCCACGTGACAGTTTGACTTGAGGTTTTATTTTGGTTTCTGAGCACCATGGGGGATATTTACTGATCCACATCGTCTGTGTTAAACACGCGCCGTGTCCTCTCATCTCTGGTTTGATCCACTGACGCTGAATAACCACTCTTTGTTGTTTAGACAGCCTGATTTTGGCTCCTTCATCACAGGGTGGGTTAAACATGTAACTACAAACAGCTGCTCCCAAACAATGCAGCCACTTCTGACTACTATAATTTTGTGTTGGCACTGGCCAGTTTATTTGTCATTTTAACTACAAAGTCTCCACTCAGTAGTCCAACTTTCAGGGGTTTTATCCCCCCTTTCAGGGGTTTTGAGAGACAGAAGACATTGCAAACAGCTGCCTCGGGATTTGTTATTTGAAAGAAAGGAGAGAATAATTACTGCAGAGAGAGAAAACAAAACATTCCATTAAAAAGCATCTTTAAAAGGAATGTTTAACCTTTTCTTACAGGTTGTGTGCTCATGAGTACAGACATAATTTGGTCTCTGCAGCAGAAAACCATCAGACCAATCTGTTTAGACCATCACAATTTGCCCTCACTGCCAAGTTAACAATGACTCAGAATTGAGCCCAGGGAATAGCAGATTTCCCACCATTTAAAACAACTCAACCCTTAAAATTTTTATTGCAGTTTTAGAAAGTGCTTTATCATATCAAATGCTAGCATTAGAGCATGAAATTTGCATCAGATAGTTACACGAACTGGGAGAGCATAAGTGCTGTGTCACAACTGTGAGGCAACCCCTACTGTTGCAACAGACGGGGAACCATGTTGCTACACTGATGCTCCATCTTTGGGAAAGTGTAGGAATGAGTAGACAACAGATGCACAAGCAATGCAGTGTGATTGATGCTTGCATCACTTCCAGTTTGGAGTTTTTTTAACACCTGCTTGCTGTTCCTTATGATGTCACTCACTATGTTTGGTATAAAACAATGTATGTCCCTCATACTGTTGAATATCACCCATGAGATGATCTAAGTCCCGTAAACTACCACAACTGCAGACGGCAGTATTAAAAAGGTCATATATGTCACTTGTATGTCATTTATGATTTTTTTTTTAAATATGGAAAACATACAGGAAACATATAGGAAATATATTCTCTGTAAACTTGCTTCTTCCCACAGTCCAAAAACCGGCATCTTAGGTCGATTGGACCCTCTAAATCACCCTTAGACTTAGACTGACTTAGACTTAGACTGAACTTTATTGATCCCTTGGGAAGACTCCCTCAGGAAATTAAGGTTACCAGAAGATACTGGAGAGGCAGCCGTCTACACAGCGCCAGAATAAGAGGGTCTAAAGAAAATACACCTATTAACAGGAAAAGAAAAGAGAGCTACACATTTTAGTGGCGTTTTTAGGAGTGAGTCTGTGTGGTTGTTTTTCCTTGTGTGTCTCTGTGTGGCTCTGTGATGGACTGGCGGACCGTCCAGGGTGTACCCCGCCTCTCGCCCACTGACCACTGGGATAGGCTCCAGTCCCCCCTGCGACCCCATTAGGGAATAAGAGGTAACGACGATGGATGGTTGGATGGATGGATGACAAAGTGTCTCACAAAGTGTCACGCATATAATGGAAGAAATCCTCATTAGTCAAAAAGGCACGTTTAATTATCTGTCATTATGTGGCGTTTGACTCTGTGATGGTGCAGTGACCTGTCCAGGCAGCCAGCCAACAGCAGCTGGGACACAGTTCGGTCCATCAATAATGTATCAACATATATACAAACACACGCTGTTAAGTCCATTTACCTTATCTTAACTGTTGGTTTGGTCAATCTGTTTTACAGTTTTCATGTGGCTTTTTTCTTCTATTCATGATTATTTTCGGCGTGATGTTATTTATACAAAGATAACACAGCTTTATAATCTCGAATTTCTCTGGCTTCTCTGCCTCCTCTCTCAGCCACTTTTTTGTAAGAACTTGATACTCTCTGTCCTGTGCCATAGGCCAGAAGAGGAAATGGTTGTTTGCTTGCCCTGTTTTGATCACAGTCGCCCTCCTGTCTCTGTGACAAACACACACTCAAACACACTCCTAATTGTTCTCCATCCAGGCTTTCTCTTTCTCTTTATATCTGACTGGCTGTCTCACGGTCTGATTGATATCAGTGCCAGGAAGCTCCTGTGACGCAGATGGAACAGCGGGCCTCAGTGTGGTGGATTTGCTCAGTATTAGCCTGGAAGTGAGGTTGCTTGGCCACCAATTATCTCAAACTACCCACCCAGTAGCTAAAAACTGTATAATAAAGTTTGCTTCCTAATAAGAGGGTCTAAACAAAATACACCCATTAACAGGAAAAGAAAAGAGAGCTACACATTTTAGTGCCGTTTTTTGTACAAAAGAAAAAAATGTCTATGCAAATGCATGCAGTATACATGAGTGTGTATATATATTTCTATATTCATATAAACATATCACTGTCATTGCACAAGACACCCAGCTTGTGTTATTATTACCACAATACCAGAAAGTCATATTTTAAGATTCAGTGATTTGTCACTGCTTTGCAGACCACTTGTTGTATTAAACTGACCGGAAGATTTGCTCTTTGTTTTGTTATTATTTTAAAATTTCATTTAGTTGTTTTGTATTAACAATTAATTAATCATTCACCGTGGACCTCTCACTGCACTTATTTCTTTGCTCCAGAAGATTTAGTCTCAAGTAAAAAAAGGCCCCACTAAATTTGTGGCGCACCTATCATTCAGTTTGTCCTCGAGAGCTGTAAGTCGTTAAAGTCTGGGCTGCAAAGTCAGCACCTAATTATGTAATCAGCAAATGGGACTGGTTTCAAAGCTCCTTCCATTTCTGGAGAGGCTGGACTTCCGGGCCGGGATCTGTTTATGATTAAAGAACTCAAAAAAGAAACTAAAATATACTGAAATAGAAATAACCACAAAATGACACAATATTCCCTGACAAATAGTGAACTAATGAGGAGATGATTATTCGTTTCTGAGCCTAATTTGTCCTGGGTCTCGGGGCAGGAATGGTAAGTCCTTTTAAAACACAGTTATTTTTTTCACTTTAATTTTCATTCTCCTGTTGGTTATATTTCTGGTTTCACCACTTTGCTTGGATGATCCTTCAGCAGAAAGTTGGAGCTAACCATGAAAAAATATTGTAGGCTATGTGATGTCGAAACGGATGGATGGAAATCTGAGTTTAAAATATGTATTTATTGATAGAATAATTACTCTGTTTTTTACTTGTTAGAAAAATTCACAACAATTCCTGTCTAGTGGAGACGACAACATTTCTTTTTGGAAAGATTAAACAAATGGGTAATCAGGCTTTTTGAAACTATAAAGGTTTGGGTGTCTTAATCACCTTGTGATTTTACACTTTTGTTCATACTGTACTGCAGACGTGTATTGAAAATGTGAGCTTCTTTCAAAGCTCCGATGGCCACTGTATCATCAGGTATAACAATATCATGTAAAGATCCCTGAATGGAAACACTGGCCCAAAGGCTAACTGGGCCCCCTGTTGGTAGTGGCTAATTATGGCTTACAGAACTGTTCATTTACCAACCACTGAGAGGCAACAATTAAAACACAACAACTTGAAGACTGCAGAAACAAAAGGATCAGTAGTAATAATCATACAATTACATGAAATGATTTCAAAATAGGCAGAAAGAGCTTTGTTTCTTACCTGGCAGAGGATACTGCGAATGTATCTGCCACAGGCTTTGACACCCGATTGGTCAAAATGATCCATAATAGAGTTAAACCTGACTGATATCTCTTCATCCTTCTCCACATCGCAACATCCAAACTTTGTGTATTCTTTACAGAAGACCAATGGCTGCTGAGGCTCAAATGGGGGCTTATAATCCAAACACTGAGGATGACCGCTCCCCCACCAGGCCTGGAGGAGCAAAAGTAGGAAGAGGGGAAGGAGGTGAGGGGACAGGGTGTGTCTCAATATGTACTGGGGGACCAAATTATAGGTCTGTAATGTCATGGTGTAAAGTTTCAGCCTTTCGTTCAGGATAGTTTGTCTTCTGGTCCACTAATGGAATAAATAAAAATGGCTTGTATGACACCGTCCCGTAGTCTCCAGCGGCATCTATGAAGTACAAATGTTACACTTGTAGTTGAAAAAAATTGCAAGAGTTTGGACAGTTCGTTGTTTTATTGGATGTCCTGGTCTTTCCAGTCTTGTCTAAATGTACTCGTTTGAAGACATGTGCATATGTGCATCAGACACACAAGCACAGCATCACACTTGCCTGCAAGTTAACGCAAGGCCTTCAAAATGCTCAGGACAGGTTACATCATCAGCCCACAACACATATGTAACCCTGACTCCACTGTATTCTAACATAGATGTTAAGAAATCGAAAAAGCTGAATTAGATCCAAATAATCCTTTTTAGGAAGATATCTGCGGGGCAGTCCAAGTCAGTCCAGTTCTTGTTTACATCTGCACAAACACCTGTGGATCACAACACAAATCTCAACATGAGAGAAGCACTCCAGTTATAAAGTCTATGCCCTTTCAATGCCTATGTCAGTAAATGGAATCTGTTTTTACAAACTTCAACAAAGAGCATCCTAAAATAATGTACAGATCTACAAATGCGTTTGAGGTATCTGCAAAATATTTACTTCCAGACTGAAATCACCTCGAGACTCCTCCTGTGTTTGCCCTGGACGTGCTCAGTAGCTGCAGTGGGTAGCAGCCATGCAGACAGCAGGAGAAAGTGTGAGAGAGAGCCTCTTTCATTCAGACACGCAGCCACGCTGCAGCCTCGGAAAAGATCCCTCCCACTGCAAGTCGTTCCTCCTCCTCTCTTCTTTTCATTTGCTTTTTAACTCCTCCACAAAGAGACATGCATTCCGTCCTGTGGTGCACATTGCCCTGAAGTTGTAGCTTTTCCCCCTCTTCTCCCTCGAGTTCCCCCCACCTTTAGCATTCCCACACCTCCTCTCTGTCTCTGTCTGCCACCTCCAGACAGACTCTTAGTGGTGCGTTTGTGTGTATGTGTGTGTGTGTGTGTGTGTGTGTGTGTGTGTGTGTGGTTAGATGAATCAGGACGTGAGCTGGAAGTAGAAAGCAATGGATTCTCCAGGCACCATTCCAAACCAGAATCTTATGTTAAAGAGCACAACAGCCAAGATTAGCATCCAACCGTATTATTCCACTAACTTCCCCTGGAACCCGGGAAACTAAACAAACTTCTATTACAAAGCAGAGATGTACAGTATCAACGTATGGAACTGTTTGTTTTTATGAAAAGTTACACATTCATGATGAAATGGCTCACTTTACTAAATTAAATAAGCAAACCTGAACTCTTTTTTTTAAACTAACTAAGAAATTATTTAAAAAGTCTTAAAACTAATTTTCACTTGCACTAATACTGCATGTTATTCTATACATTGAGCACGTTTCATTATCATCCATACACTCATTAAGAGTTGTACTGACTTTTGGACAAACTTTTTATTATTGAAGCACAATTCAAGAGATACAGCCAGTCCTGAACAATTGTCTCTATTAACAACATTCAACTTCTGTTATTACTATTATTGTTCTTATATTATTTACATGGCTACCAGGTTTATCTTTTTTCTGTAAGTGATTATGTGTTTGTGCAGTTTGTATTTTGCATCATGTTTATTGGCAATATTCAGATTAATGTACATATTAGGTAATTATTTAAGCAGCTCAGGGGTCTAGATCGACACAGCAACAACTATTAGTGTTTTAAAATGTATTCAATCGTTGCAGTCTGTTTTGGAAATCCATATAATGGACCAGTTGTGTGTATGTGGTTTGTATTTCTGAGATATGTGTGTACATTGACATCTGTGTCTCATTATTGCAGAGCCACCTTTTAGGTCTGAAAGAGATTCCCATATGGCTGTCAGACATTCTATCATCCCTGTGTACCCAAAGACAGCAACGCCATCTTCAGACAGAAAAGCTCTGGCTTGAATCATTCTTATGTTGTTTAATGAGAAGGTTTAGTTGTGATAAACAGGTCTCACAAAATGCCCACCACAGTTTCACTTCTAAGTTCGGTACTCTCAGTTAACTGCGGTAAAACCAGAATGCACCCCCCCACCCTGGTAACTTGTGGTTGTTTTATCTTTTCCACAACTTTTAGCATTTGCCTCTGTGAGTTGATCCCACCGGCAAAAGCGTGAAGGGGCCTGTGCCACGCAACACAGAGGCATTTTCTGCTGACGGGGGCTAAACTAAATCACTTTGTCCAGAGTGCTGTTCTTCAGCATGACTAAAGCAGTGAGTCACATTTTACGGGAAGTCAGACTCCTGCATCTTTTTTTATTCTCCGACACGCACACACATCCACATTTAAACAATGAAAAGATGTTTAAGCGGTGGCTGTTTAACCAACTGTTCATTGCCTCAACCCAGAAGAAAAATGATACACATCACCTGCAGTTTTTGTGCATTTGCTACTCTGATACCAGAAATAGCTTTCTCAGTTTCCCAGAAAAGATCTCATTTCAACCTTTTACTCCACCAGAGCTAATGGCCTGAGTGTGAGCTTTGCTCCTGATTACATTCTGCTCTCTCTGATCATTTTCCTATGCCATAGTTTGATGCTCTTTTAAACCAAATGTATTTTGTTTGCATTAAGCTTTCATAATTTATTGTTCAAAGATATGACTTTGTCCTTCACCTTTTTGTTTGTATTTTAATCAAGATAGCGTTTGTTTTGGTTTGTGTTTTGTTTTCACCTCCGATTGTGCCTGTGCATGAAAAGTATGTAAATAATGACACCAACCATACATTCTGACTGTATGACATGAGGCATACGCTCCGCCATCTGTTGTCACTTAAACCAATAATAGCCAACCGCCTTTTGTCACACTAATTGTATGTTTGACAAATGATATCTAACATATGAAAATACAAATGAAAACAACTAAAATAAATTCAAAGACTGTATATGTATAAAAGTTCATTTTTGTGTTGTTTTTGCCTTAGCTTAGCCAACAACTGAATTGAATGTTTGTGCTCACGAATAACATAACATATTTGGAAGGAATATGAATAGGAAAATCAAGGTACAAAATGAAAGGGGAATCAGTCAATTGTAATATGAAGTGAAAACGTCAATTTATTGCATGGTGAATTGAACTTGATGTTTGATCAGACATCAACTCAAATAGAAAAGGAACCACTGAGCATATAATTTCAGTTATTTGAACAATACTAATTTTGACACATAATAAAAGACACTAAAATGTCAAATTACCATTTGAAAGCAGGACAGTGGCATGAAAACCCATTTTTATTTCAAAGTCAGCATAACCCCTGCCTTTGGCCGTTCTCTCGTAATCCTTATATCGTATATCTTCACGTGGTTCCAGCAACAGGAAGCACAAAGGAGCACAGGCCCGATTCCCAAAAAACTGAGAACACATGATTTATGCAGTGGATTATCATTCTGACAAGATTGTCCTCGTGCCAAATAACTTCATGATTTGTTTGCGAGGAAAAAAATACCCTCCAAATATATTCATATAATATCCAAACTAAAGTAGTCAAGGACTTACTGAGGAAAAGAAAAAAAAAGCTGAGTGAGTGAATCTTTCTTTGAGGGGGAGTTTGTGGAGTTGTTAATACAGAAGTGAAGAACAGTTGTTATTCAATGGACCTGAGTATGTAAAAAATACATGTTGCGAGTCTGGATTACATAATTGTTTTTACCTTCTTCTCTCACACCATATATAGACTACTTTGGGTTGACTGGTACATCTGTTCAGCTCCAAAAAAAAAGATTAAATAAAACAATGTGGCATGCATGCACATTGTGTGTGAGTGTGGTGTGTGTGAGACATATCAGATGGGACATTTTCCTTACCAGGCCAACATTTAAGCATGCTATAAATAGTCCTCACTTTTCTTGCTCGACTTAAGATTACATTTCATGAATATGTAACGCAAATTTCATGCAAGAGAAGATCTTTGTTTAATCACAATGTACGAAAATGACTTGCTTGGTCATAATGCGCAATCATTTGTTTGGTAATTTTACTTTCATTATGATATTTCTTTGCAAGATATTAACTGTATTTTGTGTTTAAATCTTTGAACTTGTTCAGTGTTTGCTAAAAAAACATGGTTGAAAGAACTGCATCTAAATTTGGGCGAGTGATAACAGCTTGGCTATTTCACAGGTCACTTTGTTTGGTCAGCCAGCCAATCTCTTGGGTTTATATCACGTGTTAGATGTCAGATTACTTAACCAAAACCGTTTGCCCCAGAAAAATGTTGATCAATAGTTTTTTTTTTAATCCACTGATCCCGTTCCTGGCATGGCCACCGTACAACATTAAATGTACTGCCAAAGAGGGCCGTGATTGCCTTTTTTGTCATGTAAAAACAGTCAAATAGCCAAATAGCGAGCTCAGCCTTCAAAATACCTAAATTTATGACACCTATCCAAGGTTTCATTTCACTGGTAAGGAATTCTAGAATGTTTTCCAGTCATGACCTCCTGTGGTATTTGATGAATGTGACGAATGTTCCAGTGAGTGTTTTATCCTCTCCTGCAAATTTAAATCTACAGCGTATTGATTCTATGCACAAATGTTTTCTTTTCAAAAATCCCAATTTAGGATCAGTTGTTCAGGTTGTTTTTTTTATCTTTAGGTATCATAAAATAAAAGGTCAAAAGGAAAAAAGAAATGTATTTGCATGGGTTCATTTAAAATTGTATTATTCTTATATCGTATGTAGAAAATCTGTGTCTCTGAATGCCGCCAAGGTCTGATTTGTGTTTGTGTGTGTGGACGAATGCATTCATCTGTGCTGATTTTCTCCCCAAAGACCACTGTGCCTGGCAGGACTACAGATGGAGTGTCTGGGAATGCCTAAGGTGCTAACACAAAGCCTCACGTAGTCACGTGACATCAGAGGATATGACTACGGCATACTTCTCATCTAAACTAAACTCTAATCCCCCGCAATGTTGTATACTGACATTTTTAAAAATAGATGTCATATTTCAATGCATGGGATTAGAATGGGAAAGAATTCTCCACCAAGTCTTCTTCTTACCTACATAGCGATTTACCCATTTAATACAAGCTTTCTATTTCCCCAAATGAAGACCTTGTTCATGCACAAGATAAACTATAGATGATTTATACTTAAAATATTTGTTTAGACATCAGAGTGTTAGATAGTTCGATCATTGGCTTTCATTGTCCACATGTTGAAGTACCCTTGAGTAAAATGTCAAATCCCACAATGAAAAGGTGTCAAATGTTTGTCTTAGCACACTCTTCAATAAAAGCAGCTACCAAATGAGAAAGAGGAGCTGCGTGTATAAACAGATTTTGATCCTCACACACATAATAACACCAAAAGTAGGCTTTCAAATGTAATTTAATTACTGACCATGACTAGCATAGGCTACAATTCGCAAAATTTCTCAGAAGCTTTTATTTTAATAAATGTCAATACATTTAGTACAACTGTTGGCTTTGTAATGAGACCTTGTTCTAGATTCATAAAACAGCATCAACACAAAGAAGTTTAGTGTGAAGTAGTAAGCACAGAAGCATATTTCAATCAGACTTTAGTGTATTCTTTACTTTTTAATGACTGCCCTGTGTGATGTAAACTAATATGTAAAAGGACTGAAAAACATAATAATCATTTTGACCATAGATAAATGCAGATTCATTTAATGAACTAAACTTTATATGCACACTACTAAGGATGTCTTTTTATTCATTCCCTACCTTGAAACTCACTCTACAGGGCTGTCCAGAAGCTCACATAAAGATAAAGAAACAAGAAGTTTTACAACCAAGTACACAGCTGTTGATTATTGGAATATTATGATTGTCATGACCCATTCTATTCTATTCTATTCTATTCTATTCTATTCTATTCTATTCTAATCTATTCTATTCTATTCTATTCTATTCTATTCTATTCTATTCTATTCTATTCTATTCTATTACATTACATTCTAATGCATACCATACAGTAAATACTTCACATCACCCAGGCTTTAAGAAATGTTGAGATTAATTCTTACAGTACTATTAGTTTTCATCATGTAAAGAATGAGCACAATGAGAATAAGACAATTGATACAGTTTTTTTTTTGTTTTTTTATTTGCAATTTTACTTAAAGAGAACACAAAAGAAAAGAAATGTCTGCCCTATCCCACCTTCCAACCAAATCTAGTCTAACTCATTTGGGTAGAGGGTGTGAAAAGCTGCATAACATGATGAGAAAAATGAAAAAAGGAATTGAAATTGCATGAAAATGCATTTTCTGTCTGTGATGGGTCTTAGGAGGTCTGCAGTTACCAAAGGTTACTTCCCAGGAAACTGACAGCCCTCTCCAACTACCCCAAAAAAGACTAACTCGCCCAATCTCACCTTCCCCTAAATAAAATAAATGAATTCAGGAAGACGGTGAGATATGCTGCGTTAAAGATAAAAATAAAAAAAGAATGTTAGCAGTGCCTTCTGCCTGTGATGGGTCTTATAAGTCCCTTAAAGTTTTCTTCACAGATCTAACTGCCTTCCGAATCTTATTTCCAATTGCAGAAAAAAATCTTCTTATTTTGTTCTTCTTCTTGGTTTTTGTGACATCTAACTCATATTCCAGAGTGGTAATTAGCACCATATTAAAATAGCTGCTATCTTCTGCCACGGCTGCATCCAGTAGGCTTTCCAATGAGCCAAAATGTTGCTGGAGTGCCTTTATGATGACATTCAGGACATCTTTCATGTTTTCTTCATATACAGTAGGATCACAGTTCTCTATATCAGTTGCTGGCACCACCAAGAATAAAAGCCTTCTCTTGATTTCAGTGATGCTGTCTTTAAGATTTTTGTTGTCAGTTTCACACTTTGACAAAAGCCTCAGAAGCAGCGCCATGGCCAGGCTGTTTTTCAGAGTCTCAGCTGAGAGTTCAGGCGATTCTCTGTTTGCCTGGGCTACATTATTGTCTTCTTCATTAGGTAACCCTTCAATAATTTCATCAGCCTCGCTCTTCTCATTAACCTGTGCGGTTTCTTTCACATCTTCATCTCCTTGGTTAATAATAGCGTCCTCACGATGTTCACCAGCCTGGGACAAAGAGCTTGAGGGTGGAACTGACTTTTGGGAGGACTCTGATTCAGCCTTTGTGTCTTCTGGGGGTGAGATTCCCACTTCCAGAAGGTTTTCAATATCTTGAAGCGCACGGAATGTGTTTTCATTTTCAATTATAAGGTCTAATGTGTCGTCGAACATGAACAGGAAGATCTGCTGGACAAACTTGCCGACAGCATCTTCTGTCATGGAGTACAGCACCTCGGGAGAAAACCTCTTCCGATGTCCATCCATTGACTTTTCTATCTTGGAGATGACAGAGTCTGACAGACATCTACCCTTTGGAACATTTGGGATCTGATATATGTGCTCGGTCATCAGATGGTCATACATCATGTCCGTTAACTCTTTAGAAAAGTTTTTGATTTCACAGCATTGACTAATCTGTGGAATGTTGAGCTGTTCGTCTGACGTGGCCATTTTTGTCATTAAGTTATCAAGGTTCGTTTTGAAGGTGTCAAAATTCATTTCAGAAGTCTGTTGTTTTACCACAGTCTTCAGTCTACTCAGCCCATTTGCTGATGATGGCTTTGGAGACTCTGGGATGCTTCCGGGCAACACAAAATCCAAGGCTCCATCCTGCGGGGATTTTGGATCATTGGCTATGTTTATGACTGACTTTTCATTCTTTTTCTTGCGCAACTTCTTCAGATCTTTCTTCAATTTGTTGAAGTGTTTTTTCGTAAATTTGCAGATGGATTTTTTCTTTGTTTCAGTTTCATCAGTGTTTCCTGAAGGCGCCGTCAGCTGCTTCACTTTATCCACGATCAATGTCATGTCAAAACATGGTCTCTGTGGAGTTACGCTCTCACTGGGTCCAGCAGGTTCGTCTTTTTCTGGAGTTTTTACATTATCCAGTATGATGTTAAGTATTTCAGCACCTGCACTCTGTGCTGATCGACTGGGGCTGGGGACCGGAACGTTTTCCTGATCGGCCTTTGGTGACTCTTGTTCGGACCACTTACTTATGATGTCATCTATGCACTCAGTTACTGATTTCACTGAGTCTGGGGATTTGGGGCTCTTGGATATCAGACCCAGTTCATCACTGAGTATGACACATTGTCTTCCAAATTTCGTGTTCGGTGAAGACAAGCACCCCTTTAAATATCTAGTAGCTTGAGATACCATGTTGCCCAGGCGTTTGATGTTTGACACAATGCCATTCACAAAAAGAGCTGGCTTTGATGGCAGAGTCTCCTGCGTAGCTGCCTCAGATAGATAGGACCGTACTTTCTCTTCTATCTCAGCTTCTGCCAATTTGGTAAGCGCTTTGCCTTCCTCCAGGTTTTGCTGCTCAGTTTTAAAAAAGCTGCAGAAACTTTTAAGCAAAGCGTCTCCAAGGTCTGGTTTAACCGTTGGCACAGATGGTTCACTATGATCGCTGTTTTTGGAGGAAATTTCCTGAATATTTGCCAGGATGATTTTTAACAAATCTGTTGACACAGTCTGAATTATGTCAGTTAACAGCCCTGAAATAACTGCTTCCAGCTCTGGTTCCATTTTCCCAGAAGCCAGCATTGCCCACTGGGCAGCTGAGACATTTTGAAAATGTTTCTGAACTATTGGATTAATATTATCTTCAGTGATGAGGATAGTATCGGTTGGGGATTTGTTTTGTTCCATTGTTAAGTGCTTTTTTTTCTCTTTGTCTTGCTAGGAGTAAGAAAACCTTCAGTGCGTGTGCTCTGTTCAGTAATGATTCTGAAATGACGTTCTTCAGAACGTGGAGCTTATATACCTTCTGCAGCCACGTGCGTCACATTGACGTCATGAAGAGAGTTACCTATGTGACGTCAGTCACAACGTCGGTTCCACCTGCGGGTGGGGGGAGGGGTGGCTGGCACAAATTTCTTCATGATTACCACGTGACCATTTATCCGTTTAACTCAGCACTGGAGTGGCTTATCGATCGTTTACGGGTCATTGGCGTAATAAAGTTTATTGGCGAATAAACTTCTTCATTGAAGACGTTTATTCCATTGTGTTCCCCAACCTGAAAAGCCGCTTCTGTGTTCTGCCCCTCCCAGAGGTCCGAATAGCACTTCTGACCTGTCCAGACAGCAGCTGGCTCGGGACGCGCTGAAAACGTAGATCTGTCAGACAGAAACGCTGCCAGCAGATATTAAAGCCATTTTTTAACCGAATAAAAGCACTTGTTTGTGATCAGTGTTTTTCTCCTTCATCTGCTCCCCGTGTCTCTCTTTTCATTCTGCTATGTATTACCACTATTTAGCCCTGCATGTGTTCACAAACAATAACAAACTAACACTGTAGATATCTATAGTTTGATCTGATTACTGGCATAATTATCACGAGAATAAATGTTACTGATAAGAGTGGTCTGTCTATCTATCTATCTATCTATCTATCTATCTATCTATCTATCTATCT